CAGTCTGTTGTGATTGGTCTACTCTGCTCTGATTGGTCAGATGGCCCAGTCTGCTGTGATTGGTCTACTCTGCTCTGATTGGTCAGATGGCCCAGTCTGCTGCTGTGATTAATTGGTCTACTCTGCTCTGATTGGTTAGATGGCCCAGTCTGCTGCTGTGATTGATTGGTCTACTCTGCTCTGATTGGTCAGATGGCCCAGTCTGTTGTGATTGGTGTATCAGAAACAAAACGACCATTTACTATATCTGAATTTCAGCTCTAGAGGCTTCCTTAGCAAACACAGTGATACGAAGCGAAAAAATGGCGTCGGTTTTACTGTATCAATTCAAGCCCGAGTCCTCATGCTTTGGAAGTGGGTTTGCTTTCACAGCGCAGAAAACAGCGTCTTCTCGACATGGCGACAACATGAACCAAACTCTTCCAGGCCTCAACTACAACTACAGTGTTTGATGGTCAAAGTAGAAGTTGTTTGCAGGCAGTAAATGAAGACCATAGCTGGCGTTATGGAAATGTGTTACAAACCTGCGTAGCTTTCTTTTGGGAGACAATAGCTCCATTTATCTGTACTTTGATCTTTGAAACTGTGCATATCTTTTACATTCACAAATGGCTATATTACACACTACATGAAAGATAATATCCGAAAAAGCAAAATAAGGGTATTTTAAGTTTGTTAAATGCATTTTTAAAACTCGGAAAGCCTCTGTCAAGCAACTACATACATATGTAATTTAACTTATGGTGCAGGCCTAGGCTAGTGTCGGGTGATATGCGAGACTGAGACTTGTTCTTGAGTCCAAGAGAAAATAATTTTTACAAATGCTAGTCGTGACTTTGCAGACTTGAGCTGATGAATCAAGATGAGTCACAGACAGAGCCTCAAACTATAGCTGCCGTTTAGTACACCGGCAGTGTGAACTGATTTATACGAAGAAGAAAACAACAACCCCAGTCTATGATGTCACCATATCATACAGTTTATATGTCATACTTGTCTTGTCATACTACTTATCACACTAATTTGATCATGTCTGTGAAACTGAAGAACAGATAATATGCAGACTAAACAAACATTGAAGCCAAGTTATATCAAGCTATAAGACATACTGTTATATTAATATGATAATCAAACATCATAGGCATGGACATGTAACCCTGAATGATTTAGAAAATAGATTTATTTAGACTATTGTGTTTTGAAAATGAACATGCATATTAAATGATTATTTATTAAAAAGGTTTAGAAGACTAAATTAATGTATGGCTTCAATGAGACTGATTTGGTGTCTTGTCATAATGCATGCAAATTAACATGTGCTTTAATACAAATATCTCTGGCTTCTTGATTTCTGCTAAATGAATTAATAAATCTGATGTACAAACAGATATATTAATTAATTTGTTTGTTGAGGTATAACACATTAAAACAATTATTTTAATCAGCAGAGCAAGGTTTTTTATTTGATTTGATACATTTCATACATAGATTTTGTTTTGCATTAAGCTGAAACTGCAGTTTTACATTTTGATTGGTGTAACGTAATGTTTTCAGATTGATGTACTCATTCTAAGTTATATTAAAATTAATATTTGTGTCTTAAATAAATGTTACCATATGCAGCACTTTTTTTTAGGCAGTCTGACAAAACATTTTCACAGTGCGGTTTCCTGCACTTTAGTTTCTGTCTTTAGGTGATTAGGACAATCGAAGCCAGTATTATTTCAGGCATTTTAGAGTCACAAAAATGAAATCTTTTGGGCTAAAACGTTGTTTTATGTGTCGATGACTTTGGAAAGGCAGTGCATTATAAAGTCAGCTGACTTTATAAAACTTTAATTCCTTTCTGGGAAGACGCCAGCCAGAAAAGTGTTTAAACACATTTAAATCCACTCATTTTTTTAACGTTAGATGAGTTTAAACATGCATGCATTTTGGTATTAGATTCATGACACATCTCTTTTCAGGGTGGTGTGGAAATTCCTGTAGTTCCTTCCTAAAGATGTATTGTCATCTGTCCCAATTTAGATCTGTAGTTTACAGTTTCCTGCAGGCACGGCCGGCGCAGAGAGGCATTTCCGACCATTTTTCACTCTTCAATATGGAATTGGGAGATGGTGTAAAGACAGAGCAGGCCTGTCCCACTACTATATGTTGACCAGCCCATGACTGGACAGTTAAGAGCATCTTAACCAGCACATGGAGTTCATGTGAGCTCTGTTTCAGTCAAAACATGCACGACAAAACTCTTCTAGGGGTGTGTCTGCTCTATTCTCATTTGAAATATCGCTCATGAACGCGTGAACACTGTATTCAATATTCCCTGGTGAAAAAATACCTATACGAAAAATCTATTTAAAATGCATTTATGTTACTTATAATAATAGAAATGCATTAGCATTGCTTACTTGAGACTTACTGATATACATATTATTATTAAACTATATTTGGAACACTTTTTTATTGCACAATGCACATTTATTTCAATATCACTATTACAGGGTATATGCAGGAATCTTGAAGTTAATTTTAATACCTTTTCAAGACTTTTTCAAGACCTTCTCAATATTTTTTAATACCTCACCGCCACTTCAAGCTGTAACCATTTACATCAGTGATACTTTTAACTTAACAGTTTTAGTTTGTGATAAAGACTATAGACCACTCTGATAAAAAAAAAAAAATCAAATAGGCTGGGATAGTAAATCAAAGCAAAGTTTATTAAAAAACAAAACAAAACTTTGCTACACCCTCAACAACAATCATGCTGACATGTGCCTCAGTTCTTCGTTTTTAAAAAAAATAAAAATGACTAAATTCACACACTTTTACGATGTTTTTGGGACTCAAACTGTTGGACAGCTAATTCAGAAAAAATTAGGGATGCACCGAAATGAAAATTCTTGGCCGAAACCGAAAACCGAAAAAGAGGAACCCAAGGCCGAAAAACCGAAAGAAATTATGCCAATTATAAGTACCATTGCATTTATGGTTATGACTGTGTACAAACTTTACTAAAATCAAGGCATTGCAATTGCATAAATTAACATTTTCAAAGAATAAATCAATTACAAATTATGCAAATATTTATTTAGCACAATGCACAGTATAAAATAAAATTCAAACTAAAATGTTTAACTTGACCCCACTCATGTGTACATTAAATAATAATCTGCTGGCCTGCAGAAAGGTTTTAAAATTAAATGTTCTGTCATAAAAACAAAGCCGAGCATGAACTTCTCATCACACCAGCACCCAGTTTGCACGTCTAAATTAGTTGATTACATTTTAAAAATGAGCATACACTAGCATAAAAAGCCATTTTAATGAACAAAGGTCCATGTTTAATACAAATGTACACGAAACTTAATGAAATATGTTTAGTGAAATTAGAAAATATTTAAGAGAGCGTTATTTAGTACATATTCCTATACATATTTTGTTGTAATGTCACAAGTAATAATCTCAGGGTTTACTGGGTTTTACATGATTATTTTTGTATTGGTGGTGGTAGGCTACTAAAAAATAAACATTGTCACGTGTTTATCTTTCTTCTTTACACCGATTCCTGATGGTTAGAGGACAGTTACTTGAGTCGTCCCCTGTCGTTTCAAAGAAAAGTACAACGGCGAGCGCGTCAAGTATAAACGCCTCGACCGTTTGGAGTGGTGCGCGCGCTGTCTGTGGAGACTCGCGCTGCGGAGGCAGGCGAAAGTATAAACAAGGCTTCCGTCTCCTCGCGGGTTCAGATATACTGAAATACGTCCACACCGCAGACATGTTGCTTCAGACAAGCACGTGCAGGTCGCGGTTTCTGTTTGCGTCATCACAACATTTCGGCCGTATTGTTTCGGTGATAAAAGTCTTTCGGCCGAAAACCAAAAATGCACTTTTGGGCTATTTTCGGTGGCCGAATATTCGGTGCATCCCTAGAAAAAATACTTTCAAAATTTAAGACTTTATAAAGCCGTGATAAGACTTTTTAATACTTTTTAAGGGTCTTAATTTTCCCAAAATTGATTTATCACCTTTTAATACTTTTCAAGACCCCGCGGATACCCTGTATTAGTGAGGAGGACAATATGTTTAATATCAGTCTTTAAATGCAAGATATTTAAAGTAAACTTGCAATAGTTCCATTTTAGCACAATCAAATATACTTAAGTATATCTTACTTTAGTTGGACTTAGCACTATTTCTGGATAATTAAAGTGCAAAATTAGTTGTTCCAATTTAGCAGACTCAAAAGTACAGGATATTTAGATTAAGTACATAAATATATGTAAATGTATAGTACAGCATAAAATAAATCTATTTCAAATACATTTTGGTACTTATTTTTCACTAGGGTTCTCTTTAAAAGAGTGATTACAAAAATTTCTAAGCCTTTATTTATTCATCACAGCAGGTCTACTTTTGTCTCATGGTTTGGCATAAAGCAAGTAGACTTCAGAGAAGTGAATGAGACATTGACGACTACAGAAAAGCGCAGCTAGTGTGTTTGGGGATCATATATGAACAATCATACCCCTCACACTGTCTTAATCCGTTTAGCAATTTAATACTATAAGCTGATAAAGTAAGAATGCCAGTTATTATTGGTTTACCCCCGCCGACTCAACACCCACTGAGAGACGCCAATAATCCGACAAATGAAAGTAAAGATGAAATGAAATGGAATGAACTGCAAACTTAAATTTACTCGGACAACTTTGTTTTGTGGCCGATTAAATTAACTGTAAAAAATATAATTTAAAATAATCAAATTAATAAGTAACAATAAGATTCATATATGTAAAGCATTTATTATTGCTATTTTTATTCAATTATATATACATGGAAGTTACATATAAAAAGCAACAATAATAAAAAATATTTTAGTTGCATTATAGCTAGCACATTTTTGTGAAGAATTGGCTACTGTTTACATTTAATTTTAGGTAGCTACTGTTTTACGTAGCACAACGTGAAATTGCCTTATGAAAATAGATTGAGCAAACCTGTGATCCATGTCCTGATGTCCCCACACGATCCTGAGCGATCCGATACAAAACGTCCCATTTAACAAGCGACATCACATCACAGCAAAAGTAATCACAGGTGATCCAAAGGCTCAGTCTGTAGTTTTCCAGTTTTAATTGTCTGTGCATCTATGAACAGCAGACACTGCATAAACTCCTGAAACACTGAAGTGAGTGGAGAGGACTGAGTCAGACAGAGAAAGAGGAGGTGGCTGAGAAAGGGAGGGAGAGAGAGAGGTTCATTTGGACTGTAAAAAGTGGATATAGGCTGTGTACCCTAAAGATTCCAGGTCGATTACGTCATTTTAAATCAGACTTAGAATATAATTGATTATATTAAATTTTTTTGACTTTTTAAAAATGTTTTAAAAGGCAATTTAATGTTTGAAAAATATTATTTATTTGTTTTGTTTATCACACTCGCCACTTTAGGTCCAATGCAAAAATAGTTGAAACCACTGTAGGATAGTAGGCCTAATGAATAATTTGTCTAACGTGTTAGTTGACTTAGCTGAGAGAGGTCTCGTGGGACAGGGTGGAGTGTGGGATAGGGTGGATTGATTCTGTACTGCATGGGAGTCATTATAAAAACAAAACAAAAAAAATATCCTAAAACTACATTGGAAAGAAATACACTGATGTTTATCACACCTGCTGCTCCATTACGCAGTAGTGTGCGCATGCGTGTTAAGATAGCAGACTGATTTGGGGGTCCGGTGAGTCGATGATGTCATCTCGCTCCAAGCGCGCAAATAATTACGCAGAGGATAGAAACTTGCTGTGAGCCATAAGGGGTTATTAAAACTTCATGGGTTCTTGCTTTGTGAGTCTAGTCGTGCTGTTTTAGCTACTCCTTGGAAAGGAGCGACAACCAAGACTTGGTTTCTTTAGTCAAATTGTATGTACAACAATACTGCTTTTAGCATTGGTATTGTATTCCATGACCCCTTGTTGCTGTCGTGCAATAATCGCAAATTGTCTATCATGTGTCATTTTTATTAAATATTTAAATATGTTAATTGTTATTCATCAAATAGCACTTTTACGTGGCCAGCGTCAGTTGTGATTTTCAACAGTAGATGTCGCTGTCGGGCTCGGTCAATCTCATACACTGACGTCAGAAAAAAAAGGTTGAAACATTAAGGCCCGGTTTCACAGAGATTAAGCCAGGATTAGGCCTTAGTTTAATTTGGACATGTATATTTAAGTATATAAAAGTATATTTTATAAACGTGTCTTAGAAAAAAACATGACTGGTGCATCTTGAGACAAAACAATGACACTGAGATGTTTTAAGATATGCCAGTGCAAGTTGCTTTCAGTTAAAACAGCTCAAACATGCATTTAGTCTAGCTTAAGCCTTGACTGTGATACCGGGGGTAAACGTTTTGTCAAATTAGTCCCAGTATTTAAATTGTAGCTCATATTTAAAAACATTAAACTCATTTACAATACAAGTTACAACTCAAAAAAGTACAAATGGGTGAGCTCGAGGTGTGTAGACTGTCTGAAAAATATGTGTTTAAATTGTGCAAATATTTGGGCAGAATTTGTGCAGGTTGGCATCAGATATTTAATGGTTTAGAGATTAATGGTTTTTAGGGCTGTTCCTTCCCCTGAATGAAGATTATGTGAGTCTGAACATGGTAACTCAGGGCAGATGCAATGCTTGCAGGCTCATGTTGCAAAGACCTGCTAAATTTTTCATCCACACGAGGCAACAGTAGATGGCTGTCTGCTAGTAAAGAAAGAGGAGATGGTGTACAACTAAAAGGCCCAATGACAATGGCATATGGGCAACGATGGGTGCACACATTTAGCAAAACCTTACCTTGCCAAAACAGATACCAAAGCTACATACAGGCCAGAATCCATTATTACTTTCTAGAGTGTATCAAGAATGAATATGGAAAAAATGCATTTAAACGCTGAATTTATAGGATTCTCACAGCACGCATCAGTGATTTTTTCTCAAAATAGTGAGAAATAAAGTCACAATTGTGTTAACTCGTAGAGAAAGAAAGTCCAAATGGCAAGTATTAAACTCACAATTCTGAGAAAAAAAGTCTGAATTGTGCGATGTTAACTCTTTCCCTGCCGTTGACGGAATGTTCCGTCTTTTACAGTGATTCCACGTTGTTGACAGAATGTTGACGGAATTTTCCATCATTTATGAGACAGGGCTTCCCCGCCGTTGACGGAATATTCTGTCATTTATGAGAATACGCTTCCACGTCGTTGACAGAATTTTACGTAATTTATGAGACAAACCCCTCCGCTGTTTTTTTCCAGCTTTCTGGTTTTTACTGTAGGTGGGTGGTAGTTAGAGGGCACTATTACACATCTTACACACCCCGCCGTTGACAGAATTTTCCGTCATTTATGAGAATACGCTCCACGTCGTTGACAGAATTTTACGTAATTTATGAGACAAACCCCTCCACTGTTTTTTTCCGGCTTTCTGGTTTTTACTGTAGGTGGGTGGTAGTTAGGGGGCGCTATTACACATCTTACACACCCCGCCGTTGACGGAATTTTCCGTCATTTATGAGAATACGCTTCCACCTCGTTGACAGAATTTTCCGTCATTTATGAGAATACGCTTCCACCTCGTTGACAGAATTTTCCGTCATTTATGAGAATACGCTTCCACCTCGTTGACAGAATTTTCCGTCATTTATGAGAATACGCTTCCTCGTCGTTGACAGAATTTTACGTAATTTATGAGACAAACCCCTCCGCTGTTTTTTCCGGCTTTCTGGTTTTTACTGTAGGTGGGTGGTAGTTAGAGGGCGCTATTACACATCTTTTGAAAGAGATCTGAATCTCTGGATAAAAACACAGGCAAAAAAGGAGCAGAAACAAGAGAAAAATGCATATGCATGTTGTAGTCATGGGAGCTATTTTCTCAGCTTTTTGTTCAAAATGTTGCTTTTTTATGAATCTTATACACATTCAAGTGTTGATAAAAAAAAAAGAATGCATCAAGCTAGAATTAAAAAAAAAATTTGTTTAAAAGAATGGGCTCTGTTCCTTTTTTTGCTATATTGCGTGTTCAGATATTCATACAACAAAATATTCTGGGAGCCATGAAACTTTTGTGAAAATTATAAAAAATCCTGGCGGTGGCTCAGGCTTTTTTGTTCAAAATGTATAAAATTAAGTCAATACAAGACGTGTTTTTGTCTTACTCTGATTTCTATTGAATTCCTATTATAAGTTTTATTTTTGACCTGACTAGGTGGTTCGTGGGAAATTGCATACATACATCAACCTCTGGGGAATCACCCGCTTGAATTTATTTTCAAGAAGCATGTCTATTAATGGTAAAGCAACAGTAACGTCTTCAGCTAGTCAGTTTGAGATCCTTTCCATCTAAACCGGTTATATCTCTTTAGCCTAGTAGTGAATGTGTTATGTGCATTCCTTACTGTTGTTGTTTTTCTGGAGAAATGTGTAAAGCCATAAATCTACAAAGTGATCCACATTGACCTAATTGCAGTCTATGATTGATATCTCCACGGTGTACAGTTTACATTTTATATTATAGAGTAATGATTCCTCTTGACTTGGCCAAAAGTCATTAAACAACACTATCTTTATGGCCGAGCTTGATTTCAAGTTATAACTTGTATAGACCGAAATCACCGGTGACTGTACACCATGATGACAACACTCACCTTGGGAAGTCATAAAAGGTCCGTATTGTAATGGAAAAAACCACAGAATAATCCTAAGAACACAATTCCTCATTCCATCCACCCACTCTAGTCATGGCACAGTTATTACTCACCTCCTGTGGCAGGTAGTCCTGCCCAAAATGACAGGTTACTGATGGTCATATGCTGCTGTGTGAATGTGGGTCATATTCCAGACATGCATAAAGACTGTTATTCCAGAATATGGTTCTGTCATGTGCACTCGACAACAGGACTGTCTCTGTAGAGTGAGTGCAGGACATTGTACGACGCTAAACTTTGTTCACAGCTCTCAACTTACAACCATTTAAATGTGAATGCTTCAATTTCATCCGGGCGTCTTTCATGCGTCTCGTGTTGCAAGTAATTGCAGCTATACACACACACACACACACGCTAAGTACAACTGCTAGCTCATCCCCAGCCATTGCTTAATTGACTTTACACAGATATGTCTATGTATTTGGTTTTTAAATTAGCCACACACATTTTCAGTTTTACAAGAATTTTTTTAAAGTATGAATTGGTATGAGGAAAAAGTTCTGGATTTTTTAATTATAGAGTTAGGGTTTCGTTTATATTTCCTTAGACATATCCCTGATGTGAAGACCTCAAACGCCCACACAGCTGTCTATTGCACATTCCTGTGGTCAGGTAGCTCATACCACACATATATGTGTTCAAATGTGTCGCGTACGGTGCATATATTACAAAGCTCAGTGAACAATTCATTATTTATGAAGGTTTTGTTTTTATACCTTTGACCTTTAATCAAGCCTTTTATTACAGCCCTCAGAACTCTTGAGTGAGCAAGAGGGAGATTTGAAGAAAGAGAGATGGCTGAGAGAAATTACAAAAGAGAAAAGCTCAGAGGAATATCACTGGAAAAAGGAGGGATATGATCAGCCCAGAGCTTTAGGACCTGCGTTATTAAAAGCTTTCCAGCGCTGGAAAGATCTAAGCGGGAAGGCCTGAAAACGGATGCAGAGGTTGCTTTGTTCCATATGTGAGTAACATTGGTTTTGCTATGTGTCACAGTACCAAGATTTGCTGTTGTTGTAATGTTAGCAATAACAGGATAGTTTTGAGTGTCAATAGCTATTAGTGCATTTTGGGATATCGCATAAAAAAAAGTCTGGATTTTTTAGCCCATAAGAAATGCGAATAAATTATGATGGAAACACGTTTACTAAATAAATCCCTCGATCTGCAGCAAACACATTTACGTGGCTTTGCCTCAACAGTGGATGTGATTGGATAACTGGACAAAACAGCGGACCAGTTTCATTGCACAGCATCTCAGATGTTTGATCATTCTGAAATGCCTGAGCCAAAGTCTGTCATCAAAATGATTTGGTTTAATTACCTCCCAGAATCGATTGCGTTCCCAAACACCATTGACAGTATTTATCGTGTTCCTGAGATTCACAAAATGTATGATGGAGGAAAAAAGAGCAACGGTCCCAGATTGCAGCAACTTCCATTTTTATTACAGATATTTTATGCCAATTTCACAGGAAGTGATGACTTTGTTCTCTTGAACACATGGGATGGAAATGGGATGGAAATTGTCTGTCTAGAGCTGGTGCTGGCAAATAACAACAAACTCTTGCTTGTATACTCTTATGTACTCTGTATGTTCATTTTTTATTCTTCCTTATCATTCGTTCGTCATCTGTGCAGCATTATTTTGCTTCGCTTCAGCTATGATAAAGAGATGTCCCCTCTTGTATTGTACGTTCATTCATGCATTTTTAGGGGCGGAGCAATGAATGAATGGGTGTGTTTGTTTGGGTTGATTTCAAATATCAACAGTTTTTCTCAGACATTGTTTACTGCACCTTTAAAAGATATATAAACTCAGAAGTCAGGGGGGGGGGAAAGTCTGAATTACGAGAGATGAACTCAATCTGAGGAAAAAATATAGTCAGAATTGCGAGATTAAAACTTGAAATTGTGAGAGATATAGTCAGAAATATAAACTTGCCGTTTTGTGAGAAAAAGTCAGAACTGCAAGATAAAAAGTAATTTACCTTTTTTTAAATGGTTCATGAATTTTTTTAGAAAAAAGCATGAAACTCCACCCCTAAACCATTAATGCGGCATAAGCAGATTGCACAAAATCATACGAATGAATACGAAATCATATGTCTAATGGTAATGTAATGAAGTTTGGACAGATGCAAACCTCTAAAACTTTTGGTTGGTCTCAAGATTGATCATACAAAAAGGTTTGGGAATCTCTGTTCTAGCCAGTGAGTCAATAAACATGTAGTATAATTATGAGCTAAGAGATCTTTTGTTCTCTTAACTTGTAGCAAGACATATAGAGACTTTTCTGAACTCCAGTATGAATATGAATCATTTGCTCTCAAGGTACCAAATTACGGAGGAGAGATAAAAGATGTGAAAAGAAGTTTCAGCATTAAGCAAATGTGCAATCTATGAAGAAAGAGACATCTCAGCATTCGCAACTATATATTGAGGTGCACTGAAGTGAGGAGAGACACTTTCAGTGTGCTGTCAGTAGGGTGCCATGGGGCTTTGAGCTCCTAACAAGTGTTTAAAATGGTCAAACAAACAAGACAAATAACAACACATCTGTCCCTCAAAACCCATCAAGGATCAGACAATCCTCACAGAGAGTGAAGGCAAGGCAGAATGAAGTGGGAAAAAAGAGTGGCATCAATTTGTTACCAGGTCTTTCTCCTTCAAAGAAAGAGTGTCCCGTATAGAGTAAAACTTTGAATTTGGGAGGTGAAAAGAAAGTCCCTCTGTATTCAGTACCAGTGATGAGATGGCTTTCATATGCTAATGCAGGAACTCAGTCCTGTATGTTCACTGGCCAAACGCTGAATCTCTCTCTGACCGTCTGAACTGACAAGTGTCTGGCTAATGGATTCTGAGAGGAATCAATCCTGGCAACTTAAACACATTTACATTTTAATGATACCTTGCTTGAATGCACCAAAGGTTTCATTTTTTTCCACAGAAGATAGAGGTTAAAGAAGCGTTAAAGACAGGTAATCACACGTTCAGAAAAGTGCAGGCTTCACTAGCATTTACAAAAAGGTTAGCCAGGAGCAACAGGACCGCATGATCAGCATCACATTTAAAATAATTAACTAGATTGGAGAAGGATGCATGTACGGACCCCCAAATGACATGCGCAAGAAAGAAAGGAGGTATCATGACAATGAATTAAGGATTTGTTCCCACAACTTATTAATGCATGGCTAGTTTTACCAATTTGTTCCCTCGTTTTAAATTGTGGCCATATTGCAATTATTCATTCCCCCATTTTAGTTTGAGAGAAAAATTGTAACAAATTCGGTTAAAATGTATCAATTTGGTCACAAATCTGAATCGAAATCTGAGAAGGACGTGTTCTGGGCCGTGCACTCTTATGTATTTGTTTGAGTGTTCGCGGCATGGTGTCTGGATCCTTTCTGTTTCATTTTGGTTCTGTTCTTGTCTTGTTTATGAGCACATGGCACATGGCATGAGCACTTCAGACATGTTTGTTTGCCATGGGCCTGTTACACATTTTGTTTCTGTGTGCAATGTCCTTTCTGTCAGTCTTCAGTCTTGGCCCCGGGTCATGGGTTTATTTGCCCCACCTGTCGTCCCTCATTACCTGCATTGTTTCCTTCCCTTTTTATTCTCCTTCTGTTCTCTGTCCTGTGCCAGATCGTCATCTATGTTCCTTTGTGTGGAAGCCTGTTTGTTGTGCCATTGGGGAGGTTTGGTTTAAGTTGTGTGTGTTTTTGTTATTTTTATTAAAATAAAGCTCTTCAAAGCTCTCTATGCATGAGTCCTCAAAATTCTTGACCCACACTTGACAGAAAACCCTGTTCACAATGCCAGCGACACTTAACAACAAAACAACATGATCCCATTCATTTTCAATGGAGGGATGGCGACTTCCGGAGACATGTAAGCGTGTTAAGTGACAAAAGTTCAGAAATATAAATAAATATATATATATATATATATATATATATATATACACACACTTTATTTTAAGTTGTCTGTGTTATGCAGCATTTTGCATGCACCATTCATGCATTTAAGTAGGCTACTGTGTAATAATAATTAACTACATGTACTTAATATAGGGTTAGATTTAGTTGCATGTAATTATGCATAATTTATAATTATTTCTACAGTAACTACATGTAACATGTGTAACAAGGACACTGTAAAATAAAGTATTACCATATATATTTCTTTATTTTTGTACATGTGTGATGTCAGATAGTGTTACCTACAGAGAAATTAACATAAAGAATTTTTTGTCATAAACTATGATCCTAATTAAAAGTTTAGTATGACCACTGGATACTTTATACAAAACTACAAAAATGTGCAGAAAAGTGGGTCCCCGACCAGAGTTGAGAACCACTGCTATAGACCAACAAGTTCCCTTGCTTTCTATGCCATTTACCACTTCTGCTGTAAATGTATTGCTTTACAAAGCTACACTGAACAAAATTATAAACGCAACACTTTTGTTTTTGCCCCCATTTTTCATGAGCTGAACTCAAAGATCTAAGACTTTTTCTATGTAGGCTAAGGCCTATTTCTCTCAAAAATTGTTCACAAATCTGTCTAAATCTGTGTTAGTGAGCACTTCTCCTTTCCCGAGATAATCCATCCACCTCACAGGTGTGGCATATCAAGATGCTGATTAGACAGCATGATTATTGCACAGGTGTGCCTTAGGCTGGCCACAATAAAAGGCCACTCTAAAATGTGCAGTTTTATCACACAGCACAATGCCACTGATGTCGCAAGTTTTGAGGGAGTGTGCAATTGAATGTTCATTTCTCTACCATAAACCGTCTCCAAAGGCGTTTCAGAGAATTTGTCAGTACATCCAACCAGCCTCACAACCGCAGACCACGTGTAACCACACCAGTCCAGGACCTCCACATCCAGCATCTTCACCTCTAAGATCGTCTGAGACCAGCCACCCGGACAGCTGCTGCAACAATCGGTTTGCATAACCAAAGAATTTCTGCACAAACTGTCAGAAACCGTCTCAGGGAAGCTCATCTGCATGCTCGTCGTCCTCATCGGTGTCTCGAACTGACTGCAGTTCGTCGTCGTAACCGACTTGAGTGGGCAAATGCTCACATTCGATGGCTTCGGGCACTTTAGAGAGGTGTTCTCTTCACGGATGAATCCCGGTTTCCACTGTACAGGGCAGATGGTAGACAGCGTGTATGGCGTCGTGTGGGTGAGCGGTTTGCTGATGTCAACGTTGTGGATCGAGTGGCCCATGGTGGCGGTGGGGTTATGGTATGGGCAGGCGTATGTTATGGACAACGAACACAGGTGCATTTTATTGATGGCATTTTGAATGCACAGAGATACCGTGACGAGATCCTGAAGCCCATTGTTGCGCCATTCATCCACGACCATCACCTCATGTTGCAGTATGATAATGCACGGCCCCATGTTGCAAGGATCTGTACACAATTCCTGGAAGCTGAAAACATCACAGTTCTTGCATGGCCAGCATACTCACCGGACATGTCACCCATTGAGCATGTTTGGGATGCTCTGGATCGGCGTATACGACAGCGTGTTCCAGGTCCTGCCAATATCCAGCAACTTCGCACAGCCATTGAAGAGGAGTGGACCAACATTCCACAGGCCACAATCAACAACCTGATCAACTCTATGCGAAGGAGATGTATTGCACTGCGTGAGGCAAATGGTGGTCACACCAGATATTGACTGGTTTTCAGACAAAGGAGAAGTGCTCACTAACACAGATTTATGAACAATATTTGAGAGAAATAGGCCTTTTGTGCACATAGAAAAAGTCTTAGATCATTTTCAGCTCATGAAAAATGGGGGCAAAAACAAAAGTGTTGCGTTTATAATTTAGTTCAGTGTAGTTCTAGTCACAGAAAATCTTGTTTGTGTAAATGTACACAAACATGTACATAAAAATGTACACATATAACAGCTTGAGTATCATTCAAAAGGACATCACAGAGATTTGTACTTAATAGGACTGTAGAAATGTTTCTAAAGCTCTGGCTTTATTTCAGAAGAACATGGAATAAAAAAAAGTGAAAACACAATTTGAAAAAAAGTGATCAATACACAAATTAATATTTTTTATTATAGTACTCTATATAAGAAGTGCAAATACATGTTTATAAACCATTAGAGGAGTGAATGCAATCCAAATCGACCTTCATCATCTTAAATAAAATACATTCTAGCTTGTCAATGATATAAAGAAAACATCATAAAAGATTATTTAGTATAAAAGCCTTAGATATAAATGTTAAAACTCTGAAATAATGATTGCATTAAGTATTTGCATTAGTCAGTATTGGTTAAGCCTAAGAGTGTAAGACACGTGAAGAAACTAAAGAAAAGTGAGTGTACAAACAGAAAGTGTTAAAGTTCTGTTTAAAAAGAAATACCAGAAACACTTCACGATTCTGTCCTTTGGCTCTGTAACAATATCACATATTTCCTATTGTTGAAGAAGTGGTCTACATGAAGAAATAACCTTCAAAACAAAGCGCCTGGTAACCTTTGTCACCGTTTATCTCAAGATTCCAAACGTTGCCCCAGTTTTTTTTAATGCAACCACAGGGTGTCAGCATATTCAATGCAAACGCGAAAGCTTAAACAAGATGTCTTGCAGACATGTTAGCACATGTTCGTGAAGATGTGTAGCACTGTTTGACAGTGAGGTCTGTAAGCCATTATGATAGGCCACAATTACAAACAAGAAGAAAACAGTCAAATATTTCTAAACCTCTCAAATCCCCAAAAAGCAAGTATTCTCAAAGCTTAGTTTTTCTTAATTCACAGTAAATCTTTGTGCGTAGTGTGAAAATCTGAGTTATCGCTCTCCTGTGAGAGACAAAGCAACCTATTGTCAAGCAAAAGACATGAGTGTACCTAAACTGCGTCCTCTATATATTACAAAAGTGCAAGAGCTAAACAGATTGATGACCAAGGCAACTCAGTTAATATAACAATTTATAAAACAACTATTCTGAACCACCAGTGTTTTTTGATTTTGCCTTTGCAAGGCAAGGCCTTTGTAAGAGAAGCTATCTGCAGATGTCTTTCCCACAATGCAGCGGGATTCCACTTGCTCAATCCCTTGGCAAAAAGATTTGGCTTCAGCTGAGAGGTTTTCAGGCCAGCTGGCTGTAAAGTTCAATGTTCTTGCTGATAACACTGTAAGCCAGAGAGAAAGAGACGTGTGTGGGGTGAGCGAGGTTATCCCAGAAGAACTCTTTGAAGGCGGTCGGCGGGAACGCTGTTGTCATCGTCCGAGTCGGCGTCGCTCTGAGGGTTGGAGCTGCAGGGAGAGGTGCATTCTGGGGAGCACAGGTAGTGCATCAAGGGCAGGCGATACTTCCCGCAGAAATCCACAAACTTAATGTGACGAACGCATGAGTCGAAGTAAACGCCTGGGAATGAGGTGGTGAGATATATTGTGGTTAGAAAATTTGACATTGAATAAAAAGTTAGTTCTGTCATCAATTACCCTCGTGTCATTCCGAACCCATCAGACTTACGTTCATCTTCGTAACACAAGTGTACCGGTAGGTACTTTTAAAGGGTTAGTTCACCCAAAATAAAAGATTATCCTATAATTGACTCACCTTCAAGCCATCCTAGGTGTGTATGACTTTCTTCTTTCAGCCAAACACAATCGGAGTATTTAAAAAAATATCCTGGCTCTACCAAGCTTTATAATGGAAGAACATAAATCTGAACACTGGATAAAGCTAGGTTGAACAATTTTTGACAAATTCGTTTTTACAGAGGTTTTTGATATCTATTTTTTTATCACTCCATAAATCAGAAAATATTGTAAAACAGCCAGAAAAAAAAGAAAAAAAAATATTTTTAGGAATAAAATGTTACATAAATCAGTTGAATTATAAATTTGAAACCTTCAGAATATAGATAGTGATAAACTAAAGTCTGTTGTAAAGTGTAGGTTTCTGGCTCAGTGCCAAGAGAAAAAAACTATTTTTTGACAAAACAACATTTAAAGATACAGGACGTATTGTAATGGAAATCTACTAATTTAATAGATAAAGTATAATTAAATAAACATTTAAATGTGTATTCTGGACGTTTTCTTTCCATTAGTCTGAAAGAAGACAAGTCGTGGAAGCAAAATAGCCCCCCCCCCCCCCCCCAAAAAAACGATGGTTTTGTTTCATTGCCTTAATGAAAGTCCATTCCACCAAAATTTGTTCATAAAAACTGTGTAAACTTGATCCATATCACTCCAGCAGTTTAAGCACACACATTTGAGCTTCTGTTTACCATATTTGATGTGCTCTATATATGAATAGAATCCTAAATTAATTCGGTTCAACATTTAAATTGTGTCATTTCAGAAGACTTGGCTGTGCTCGATTCATATGAATTACTTTCACAATGTCTTTATGAACTTTATGAAGCTTGGGAATTTTGGATGTGTGGATTTTGATGGATGGACACAAATAATGAGAGAATATAAAATAAAAACTTGATTTGTGTTCCAAAACTAAAGTCATACAGCTTTGGAATGTAAATGATGACATTATTTCCATTTTGGGGTGAACTAACCCTTTAAATGAGAGCACATTCTTCTATATAAAGGACTTTCATTGATTCTGAACTCTATATAATCTATATAAACTTGTCTTTATATCATCTTTCTTCTCCCACCTGCACACTTGGGGTTGGGGCACTTGCTGGCCATGTCTAGGTAGTTGACTAGATGGCTCGGGAGGTCTTTATGCGAGTACAGAAGGTTCCTGCTTTTGACGGTGCGGCCAGCCAGCTCCAGCAGGGACGGGGGGTCGTATGTCATGTCCTTGATGAAGCGTACCACCAAGGGATTGCCTCGCAGACTGAGCTCCTGAAGCTGTACCAGGCTCAGGATCTCTCTCGGAAGATACGTCAGCAAGTTATTATGCAGACTAAGAGAGCGCAAGGAATGGAGCCTGTGAGAGTGAAAGAAAAAGCAGGACAGGCAAAAAACATTTTTAATATTCATTTGTAAATAGATAGACACGAGAGCATTTGAAAGCATGCGTCCATCACCGGATCCCTAATATATCCACTGATAGACGGATCCTAGTATGGTGTACTATTTTCTTTTTTAACTGCACACTTTATTAGCAAGTATTTGCACTGCACATCTAAAAGACTTACCTGTTGAGTGTAGGTGGGACGCTCTGGATACGATTATCACACAGAACCAGGTAACTGAGGAAGGGCAAGTTAGCTAGTTCAGCAGGGATGGAGGAGATCTGGTTACCACCCAGATACAACAGCTCTAAGCTAAAGAGAGAAAGAAGGGTTGTGAAGCAAATATAGATGTCAAAATGGTGACAAAATGACTAACATAGATGTTATTTGGAATCTTTCATTGGAAAATAAAGTCATGCTAGTGAAACAGACATACTCTGAAACACACACACACAAAAAAGAGCATCTGAAAGCATAAAATGCATTTTCATCCAGTTGAATAGCATGTATCCATTTTTGTTTTGTTTTATCAATACTAGAAAATCAAGCGTATGCACATTAAAGCAGTGCTTTGCAACCTTTTTCGACTCCAAGGCCTCCCTTTGTCTAAGACATATTTGAATGCTCTCCTATCTAAACTATTTATGTACCTCTGGTATTTCTGTTGTAATACAAATAAATAAACTCAAAAATATGCTGTCAGTTTAATGTTGTACATCTTTATTTAATGTTCCTTTAGCTAGTGGGGCCTGACTCCCAAAAACCAATACATTTAAGTACATTCAAAATAAACAGGAAGTCTTCCACTGAGCAAATGCAGACGTGCAAAAAGGTTTTAAAAAAATAGATCACAGCAGAGTTTGGTTATGAGGAAATCACCCTAACTTCTGCTGTTTTTAAGTCAATACAGATCGATGCTTCATGATAACTAAGATATACACTCACCGGCCACTTTATTAGGTACCCCATGCTAGTAACGGGTTGGACCCCCTTTTGCCTTCAGAACTGCCTCAATTCTTCGTGGCATAGATTCAACAAGGTGCTGGAAGCATTCCTCAGGGAGTTTGGTCCATATTGACATGATGGCATCACACAGTTGCCGCAGATTTGTCGGCTGCACATCCATGATGCGAATCTCCCGTTCCACCACATCCCAAAGATGCTCTATTCGATTGAGATCTGGTGACTGTGGAGGCCATTTTAGTACAGTGAACTCATTGTCATGTTCAAGAAAACCAATTTGAAATGATTCGAGCTTTGTGCCATGGTGCATTATCCTGCTGGAAGTAGCCATCAGAGGATGGGTACATGGTGGCCATAAAGGGATGGACATGGTCAGAAACAATGCTCAGGTAGGCCGTGGCATTTAAACGATGCCCAATTGGCACTCAGGGGCCTAAAGTGTGCCAAGAAAACATCCCCCACACCATTACACCACCCCCACCAGCCTGCTCAGTGGTAACAAGGCATGATGGATCCATGTTCTCATTCTGTTTACGCCAAATTCTGACTCTACCATCTGAATGTCTCAACAGAAATCGAGACTCATCAGACCAGGCAACATTTTTCCAGTCTTCAACTGTCCAATTTTGGTGAGCTCTTGCAAATTGTAGCCTCTTTTTCCTATTTGTAGTGGAGATGAGTGGTACCCGGTGGGGTCTTCTGCTGTTGTAGCCCATCTGCCTCAAAGTTCGAGGTACTGTGCGTTCAGAGATGCTCTTCTGCCCACCTTGGTTGTAACGGGTGGTTATTTGAGTCACTGTTGCCCTTCTATCAGCTCGAACCAGTCTGGCCATTCTCCTCTGACCTCTGGCATCAACAAGGCATTTCCGCCCACAGAACTGCCGCTCACTGGATGTTTTTTCTTTTTCGGACCATTCTCTGTAAACCCTAGAGATGGTTGTGCGTGAAAATCCCAGTAGATTAGCAGTTTCTGAAATACTCAGACCAGCCCTTCTGGCACCAACAATCATGCCACGTTCAAAGTCACTCAAATCAACTTTCTTCCCCATATTGATGCTCGGTTTGAACTGCAGGAGATTGTCTTGACCATGTCTACATGCCTAAATGCACTGAGTTGCCGCCATGTGATTGGCTGCTTAGAAATTAAGTGTTAACGAGCAGTTGGACAGGTGTACCTAATAAAGTGGCCGGTGAGTGTATATTCAGCAAACATCCCTTTTGTTGCGTCACAGACACCCGTCCAGTGCTTCATGACTAGTTTAAAGGGATAGTTCACTCAAAAATGAAAATTCTGTCTTAATTTACTCGCCCTCAAGCCAAACCTGTATGAATTTCTTCAGCTGAACACAAAAGATATTTCGAAGAATGTCGGTAACCACAGTTGATGGACCCCATTGACTTTCATTTTTTTTATGGAATTATGGAACTATGGAAGTCAATGGGGTCCATCAACTGTTTACCGACATTCTTCAAAATATCCCTTTAAGTAAATAGTCTAGTACCTGCTTTTCCTAAAATAAAAGTTTGTAATGTTGTGATTAATCTCAGAGCCAGTTCATTTAGTTCAAACCCCCCAGAGAAAAGGAATTATTCCTCTACAGGGGACAAAAAGAAGACAGAGAAACAAGGAGCGAGTGAGAGATGACAGGGCTCCAGACTAACTTTTCCACTGGTTGCACTGGTGCTACCAACTTTCTCAGTTGGTCGCACCAGCATATGATTTGGTCACACCTTTTTTTTTGCTACATGCCATGGGATTAATCAATGCATGCTGATGAATAGTGGTTTTAATGGACCAAGGCTAGCAAAGGCTTTCTGGGTTGCAGCAGAAATACCTGTAATATATTAATTATCATTGCCAAATTTCAGGATTTTCATGGATTTGGGACAGTAATTTTAATCTGTAATTTTAAGCATTTTACATTTGAATTATATACAATCTATCTATTTACATTTGAATCATATTCTATCTATCTATCTATCTATCTATCTATCTATCTATCTATCTATCTATCTATCTATCTATCTATCTATCTATCTATCTATCTATCTATCTATCTATCTATCTATCTATCTATCTATCTATCTATCTTAAAAATCATTAAACATTCAAATGTATGCATTACATTTTAAAAGATTAGAGTATTATAATAAACTGATACAGATTTTTCGTTATCAAAGTTTATAGTTGTAACAAAAAGCAGAAATCTCACACTCCTTACCTTCTGCATTTTATAATAATTTCCTTTTCCTCTGTCGAGCGATCATGAGAGTAATCGCTCGACAGAGGAAAATATAACCGCTGAAAAGACGTAGGAGGAAGGGGCTCTGTGTTTCGTGAGACCATTTTTATCTGCCTTAATTCGTGAATTGGTAATTGGCGCGTTTCACCATCAGTGTGCAATGCGCGTGACGTCTACGTTCGTCAATAAATAAACTGCACGTGTCTTGCGGAAGAACACTGTAGACGGAACTACTTCTCTCCGTTAATGTCTATGGCGAGTCACGCAGGCACTGGGCTACTCCGCAGCAGAGACGACCCCGGGATAAAATAGTCCGAATATAAACACTTATTATAGGCGTACCGTAGTGATTCAGAATAAGTCAAAAACACGGTTTGGAAAATGGATTCATGATGTAGCCTACTCGTTCATTTTGAACATAAGTTACGGACTGCAGCAGCTGATACAACGGCGTTCTGTTGCTCAAGCGTCCACTCGCACAAATGCGACCACATAACATTTTAACTCGCACATTCTCAAAAAATGGTCGCAGTCTGGAACCCTGGATGATCTACCATTTTACCCTACTTTCTCCATTTGTGGTCCTCCCTAAAGAGAGGCATTCATTTCTTTATTCCCTTCGCCAACCCATCTCGGCTTAGTCTCGATAATTACCACAGCAGGCAGAGATGGTAAAGAAAAAAAGAGGCCCAGAGCTCTCGAAAAGGACCAACTCTGTGTGTAATGTGGGACAACAGGGCACGTCTCTTTATGACGGGATGGCTCGAAGCCAAGTCGGCCTCAGCAGACTCACGGTCACGGCTTCGGCACAGCTCTACTGAGACCACACGGCAAACTGATCCTGCGGCCTGGAGCTCTACTCCTGAGAGAATCCCATTCACTCTCACTGTGAACCAAAGCCCAAATGAGACCATTATGAGCTGAGAAGCACTTCACTGTCATGACAGCTGGATTTCAATACAAGCAGATTACATTTGTTGCTCACCAAGTCTGCATTTATTTGATCAAAAATGCAGTAAAAACTATAATATTGCAAAAAATTGTGATTTATTAATTAGTGTGCTATAGTGTTTCCTTTGCAACAGCTGCAAACTACAGGCAGACTATGATGTTTGTCTACGGTTTGCCATATCAGTTAATAACATACCGTAATCATCAACCTGGTAGACCGTGAGTCACGTTCTGGGAGCTTAATTTCCTTGACATTGGGAAAGGTGTTTATTAATATGCACGTGACTAATAAAGACAACACTGATAAGGTTCAGAATGAACTTGGCAGGATAAGAAAGCAGGTATTTAGGTAAACAAACATTAGGCAGAGAAATGCATCTGCTAACTTGTGAAAGTGTGCAATAGTGTCCCAAAATTCTTCAGTAAACATTTCTGAGCCTTGAACCAGGTCCAAAATGAATCGCAATATTACAAATTGCAGTTTGATAATATATATATATATATGATGAGTTTGTTTTGATGTCGATATATGTTGCCTTAACTATATAAATATGACCATAAATGCCTTTTAAATGTTGTTACATGTATTAATAATGATAAGAAAAACTAAATTAAACATTGTAAATTAAATATTTCTCTCTCTTTTTTTTTTTTTTTACTTCTCAGCATACTAGCTTAGCATACCGTTAGCCAGCTAGCTTATTAAATCTCTTATTACCTGTGATCATTTGGTAAGAAAATGCAAACAATACAATGTGAAACAAACTTTTTATATACCCAGAATTAGATCACATGTTGTACAATACAGCAGGCTACGGTAGTGCTAAAGCACTGTAGCAGAGAACTGACAGCAAGCATACACTTACACACGGCTGTCCCCTGGGTCCTAGTGCGAACCCATTTAATGGGGGGACCGATTGTTCATGACACCCAATTGTTGAGTTCAATTGGCACTGTGACAGAATTACTGTAAAAGAGCTCGGGGACACTCTAAAGAAGCTGACATTGAAGGGACAGGACAAGATAATCGTCAACACGACCTCTTTTTGTACATGTTGCACTTTGTTCTGAGCACAAGCTATAAACTAGAAAAAAGGGCAGCCTGACACTCTTTTTGATTACAGTTATAAAGTTGCATCAGCCAGGACATAATGATTTAGTTTGCCACAGTAGTGAAGAACAGCATGTTAAATTTCTTATTTACTAATGAAAGTTGAGTGCACAGTGTATTTCATATCATTGTGACAGGCCTATTCCACATTGTTCTGCCGTTTTGTTTTCTTCAACTTCAGATTGGTCCTGCATAGAACGCATATTAGAATCGGACAGACATCCAAAATAGAAGATTAGAGTCCATGAAAGAGGAGTCTGATTTTGGTTTAATATGAGGGTATAGGCTAGTCAATAAATGATCTGTGTTAACGTATGATAACTGATTGCAAGGCAAATTATTTCAAAAGATGAATTAGTCATACTTTTAGAGGAGTTGGGTAACTAATTCTGACTTCATATCCGGCTTCACGTACCTCTACCTCTTTAAATCCATGCTGTTGTGCAATCAGCTGCGATGACTTTCATAAGTCCATCTGGACCATACATGCAAATGTCTTTTATTCCCTATTTTCCCACCTAAAGTGATGTCACTTCCTGGACCGTGACGTCATCACGGGACAATTAAAAGTTAGCACTCAGGGACATGGTACAGTTCAAGATTCAACATAATGTCTATCCATGCAACCAACTCCCAGATTTCTACATTTGTTGATCTTTCTAACATAAGTTGAGAAAGAAACTTTGCTTCATTTATTCTACTATTGCAATCAGGTTTAATCTCTTTGGGAGAACTTAAGTTGTTATCTTTCTACTTTTATAAAATATGATTTAAACTTTTCAATGAAAGATATATTTCTTTATTTTTCTAGGAGTGACTATGCTATTGATTTCTCAATACTTTGCCTAGATTTGATGTCTTCATCATGAGATCTCCCTTAATGTCATTGCCAAACAATAAGAACAACAAGCTTCTTAAGAACTATTTTCTTACTGTTTGAGGTGTCATTTTTTTTTCTTTTCATTTTATGTAAATGTTTTTTTCAATGCAGTTCTGTTTCTTTTCTTGCCATCCAAAAAACACTCAGGGACAAAAAATTACAACATCGGACATCCCCTAAAGATAGTAAAATTATTTATATAATTACCACATTAATATATTACATTAATATAATTATATCATTTCCAAAATTAGTTTGATTATTTCATCCAACATATTAGGACATAATGATCACGGGAATTGAGTGCCAATTAGTTGTAGCCGAAAAAAAAGGAGGTTAGTTAATCATGAGACTTTAATTACACCGAGTAGACATATTACAAGTGTAAAAGTATGGCAATCCTCCAACGAGTAGCTGCCTCAAACCCTAGTTCTCACGATGTTTTGAGACAGTCAAGGTGCAGTCAGGTGTTTCTGTATTACCTGGTCAGACTCTCTATCTCTGCTGGGATGCTCTTCAGTCTGTTCCCTCCCAGTGACAGTGACTGTAGTCTCAGCAGCTGCAGACACTGGCTCGGCACCTCCTCAAACCTGTTTCCACTAAAATTCAACACTTCCAGCTGCAGAGAGCCAAACTCTTTCGGTAGGGAAAATTCAGTTAAACGATTATTCTTGGCTATAAGGGTTTTGAGTTTGGTCAGTCGGGTAATCTCCTCGCAGATGACCGACAGCGTGTTGTTACTGATATCGAGAAACTCCAGGTTAGAGAATAAACAGATTGATTCGGGCAGAATGGTCATTCGGTTGTAACTCAGATACAATTGCCTCGTGTCTTTCCGTCGTTTCTCGCTAATCGTGTCCAAACTCTGATTGTTCAGATTCAATCGGGACAGGTCAAAAACACCCTCGGCGCTGCTGGCTCCTTCAAAACCCTCCATTTTTTTAGATGATAACGAAAAAGAATCCCCTTCTTATGGTTCAGGCTGTTTTCCAACAGTTCGACCGAGTTTAGGCTCCCCGAACATCCATGTGTGACCTAAATTATTCAGCCTAACGGCAGCATTCACACATTACAGTCAGTGAGTTATCAAAGAGGGTTTATCAAGCGTTCATTCTTTAGCATTCATGTTCAGGGGCTCAACTTTCGCATGGCTCCGCCCAACTGTATTAACCCTTTACTAGAACTTGCTAGAGAAAAACTGTTGTAAATTCTCTTACAACATACACAAACAACTCGAACAAACTATTGTTCTCTTCCAGAACTATGTATACAGACTCTTATTCTCTTTAAAAATCAGTCTGAATTGAGAAACTTTAGTTTTCTTTAGTTTTCAGGGTCCCTTGCTGCTTATGTAACCACAGCTGTTGCAAAGATTTTATTATGCAAGCAGTCAGTGCGTTTTTTTTTTTTTACCATATATTATCCATTTTCCTGCAGCTTATTCGGGGCTGTTCATAACTCTGGCAGTTTACATCTAACAAATGGGTTCATTCTCGCGTTAAGCAGCACGTTTAAGCTTCAACAAGAACCAATGAGGTTCATTCTCGCGTTACGCAGCACGTTTGAGCTTCAGCAAGAACCAATGAGGTTCATTCTCAAGTTACGCAGCACGTTTGAGCTTCAGCAAGAACCAATGAGGTTCATTCTCAAGTTACGCAGCACGTTTGAGCTTCAGCAAAAACCAATGAGGTTCATTCTCGTGTTAAGCAGCACGTTTGAGCTTCAGCAAGAACCAATGAGGTTCATTCTCGCGTTACGCAGCACGTTTGAGCTTCAACAAGAACCAATGAGGTTCATTCTCAAGTTACGCAGCACGTTTGAGCTTCAGCAAGAACCTATGAGGTTCATTCTCAAGTTAAGCAGCACGTTTGAGCTTCAGCAAGAACCAATGAGGTTCATTCTCAAGTTACGCAGCACGTTTGAGCTTCAGCAAGAACCAATGAGGTTCATTCTCAAGTTATGCAGCACGTTTGAGCTTCAGCAAGAACCAATGAGGTTCATTCTCAAGTTACGCAGCACGTTTGAGCTTCAGCAAGAACCAATGAGGTTCATTCTCGTGTTAAGCAGCACGTTTGAGCTTCAGCAAGAACCAATGAGGTTCATTCTCGCGTTACGCAGCACGTTTGAGCTTCAACAAGAACCAATGAGGTTCATTCTCGCGTTACGCAGCACGTTTGAGCTTCAGCAAGAACCAATGAGGTTCATTCTCGCGTTACGCAGCACGTTTGAGCTTCAACAAGAACCAATGAGGTTCATTCTCGTGTTAAGCAGCACGTTTGAGCTTCAGCAAGAACCAATGAGGTTCATTCTCGTGTTACGCAGCACGTTTAAGCTTCAGCAAGAACCAATAAGGTTCATTCTCGTGTTAAGCAGCACGTTTGAGCTTCAGCAAGAACCAATGAGGTTCATTCTCGCGTTACGCAGCACGTTTGAGCTTCAACAAGAACCAATGAGGTTCATTCTCAAGTTACGCAGCACGTTTGAGCTTCAGCAAGAACCTATGAGGTTCATTCTCAAGTTACGCAGCACGTTTGAGCTTCAGCAAGAACCAATGAGGTTCATTCTCAAGTTACGCAGCACGTTTGAGCTTCAGCAAGAACCAATGAGGTTCATTCTCAAGTTACGCAGCACGTTTCAGCTTCAGCAAGAACCAATGAGGTTCATTCTCGTGTTAAGCAGCACGTTTGAGCTTCAGCAAGAACCAATGAGGTTCATTCTCAAGTTACGCAGCACGTTTGAGCTTCAGCAAGAACCAATGAGGTTCATTCTCGCGTTATGCAGCACGTTTGAGCTTCAACAAGAACCAATGAGGTTCATTCTCAAGTTACGCAGCACGTTTGAGCTTCTGTAAGAGCCAATGAGGTTCATTCTCGCGTTACGCAGCACGTTTGAGCTTCAGCAAGAACCAATGAGGTTCATTCTCAAGTTACGCAGCACGTTTGAGCTTCAGCAAAAACCAATGAGGTTCATTCTCGTGTTAAGCAGCACGTTTGAGCTTCAGCAAGAACCAATGAGGTTCATTCTCGCGTTACGCAGCACGTTTGAGCTTCAACAAGAACCAATGAGGTTCATTCTCAAGTTACGCAGCACGTTTGAGCTTCAGCAAGAACCTATGAGGTTCATTCTCAAGTTAAGCAGCACGTTTGAGCTTCAGCAAGAACCAATGAGGTTCATTCTCAAGTTACGCAGCACGTTTGAGCTTCAGCAAGAACCAATGAGGTTCATTCTCAAGTTATGCAGCACGTTTGAGCTTCAGCAAGAACCAATGAGGTTCATTCTCAAGTTACGCAGCACGTTTGAGCTTCAGCAAGAACCAATGAGGTTCATTCTCGTGTTAAGCAGCACGTTTGAGCTTCAGCAAGAACCAATGAGGTTCATTCTCGCGTTACGCAGCACGTTTGAGCTTCAACAAGAACCAATGAGGTTCATTCTCGCGTTACGCAGCACGTTTGAGCTTCAGCAAGAACCAATGAGGTTCATTCTCGCGTTACGCAGCACGTTTGAGCTTCAACAAGAACCAATGAGGTTCATTCTCGTGTTAAGCAGCACGTTTGAGCTTCAGCAAGAACCAATGAGGTTCATTCTCGTGTTACGCAGCACGTTTAAGCTTCAGCAAGAACCAATAAGGTTCATTCTCGTGTTAAGCAGCACGTTTGAGCTTCAGCAAGAACCAATGAGGTTCATTCTCGCGTTACGCAGCACGTTTGAGCTTCAACAAGAACCAATGAGGTTCATTCTCAAGTTACGCAGCACGTTTGAGCTTCAGCAAGAACCTATGAGGTTCATTCTCAAGTTACGCAGCACGTTTGAGCTTCAGCAAGAACCAATGAGGTTCATTCTCAAGTTACGCAGCACGTTTGAGCTTCAGCAAGAACCAATGAGGTTCATTCTCGTGTTAAGCAGCACGTTTGAGCTTCAGCAAGAACCAATGAGGTTCATTCTCGCGTTACGCAGCACGTTTGAGCTTCAACAAGAACCAATGAGGTTCATTCTCAAGTTACGCAGCACGTTTGAGCTTCTGTAAGAGCCAATGAGGTTCATTCTCGCGTTACGCAGCACGTTTGAGCTTCAGCAAGAACCAATGAGGTTCATTCTCGCGTTACGCAGCACGTTTGAGCTTCAACAAGAACCAATGAGGTTCATTCTCGTGTTAAGCAGCACGTTTGAGCTTCAGCAAGAACCAATGAGGTTCATTCTCGTGTTACGCAGCACGTTTAAGCTTCAGCAAGAACCAATAAGGTTCATTCTCGTGTTAAGCAGCACGTTTGAGCTTCAGCAAGAACCAATGAGGTTCATTCTCGTGTTACGCAGCACGTTTAAGCTTCAGCAAGAACCAATAAGGTTCATTCTCGCGTGTTACGTAGTACGTTTGAGCTTCTGCAAGCAGATTCCGATGAGCTTCTGTTTATGGTCACTGATCAATGTTCATATGGGAATAAATCGGTTCATCATATAAAGCTATCAAGTCTCTTCAGAAAATCTGGATAAAACAGATTGATTCTTATAGATTAGTTTCATGATCACTTTATGAACTTTTTGAAGCGACAAAGTGGTAGTGGCGTAGCTGTCAATGGAGGGTTAGAAATTTCTCAGATTTCATTTAAAATATCTTAATTTGTGTTTCGAAGATGAATTAAAGTCTTACGTTTTGGAACGACATGAGGGCGAGTAATTGATGAGAATTTTTTCTTTTTTTGAGTGAACTAACCCTTCAACCATTTCTTACAGTCACTTGTGAATATAGAAGAAATAAAAGCCACATTCAAATCAAGTTTTCAAATCAAATAGTTTTTACAGGATAGCATTTCTTTCCCAGTTGATTACCTCCTGAAGTTAGCCTACATAAAATCAAAAATCCACACACTAAACCGTAATCATTTTTGTGAGACATAAGATATCAAACGTTCGTACTTTTTTATTTTTATTATTGCATTATTATTAGCACACAGTACATATCAAATAATAATCAGAGAAGTAAATATGAATGAAACAGAACAAGGGTTTTTACAGTAAAATGTTTTAATTCTGCCCCATTGAATAAAACAATCATACAGACATATAAAAGGCTGTCTAGGTGTCTACCATAATACTGGAAAATTCTTGTGCACCGTGTCCTATATTAGGTGGTTTATACCTACAGAAGAAGCCACTTCACCCGTGGCGCACTGTTTGTATATAAGGCACTAATTACCACAAAGGATTCGTACTGTTAGTGGAATTTAGTGGAAATTAAACAAGCTTACACACACACACACAAATTCTCCCAATTCGGTGGGAATGCAACTACACTACAGAGGCAATAGCGACTCTAATCCTTATTCTGACAGATATTTTACGTAACAGGTATAAAGTAGTTGCTGGGTCCAGAGTAGTGGTATACCTGGAGGTTTTCGTACAACAATTTAAAACATCCTAAACATCAGGCTTTGGTTTCAGATCACTCCTCCTGTACTCAGTCCCACCTCAACTGCTTAAACTCCTTTATTTCGTATAAACCTGGCTTGTTAGATCATTTTCATCGATTCAAACTGAGCATCAGAGTGGGACTGAACGCAGTGAGAGAGTTTCAGCATGAACTGCCTCTAGCAACTAACATAAATACAAGCTCAATGCATTTGTGCAGCAGTTTTCTTCCAATCTATGGAGCTGATCTACTCTGATCGAAGGACTTTCGATGCAATCGCTCATGGCAGAAAAGGCATGCATGTCAAGTAATAAAATAAAAATTCAAAGATATTGCCTCTCTACTTTACTGAGCCACACTGCTTCTAGTGTGTAATGAGCGTATCTACCATCTAATGCATAAGAGCAAAGCCGCAAACCGAGGAATTCTAACATTAGCACCTTTACGAAAGGTCTCAAGACTATGACTGCGTTCGTGATGAGAGTGAAAGAGAGAGCGAGCTTCTTTCAAGTCACATTTTTTTATCTGTCAAGCGAGCTTTCACTAGTTTGTTGTTGTTGTTTTAGCATGACTATCTACCATCTGACTGAGGGATATCTCTAGTTCTGAAGCTCTGAAGTCACAGTTTGATGGATGAACCCGTGTTGTTTTGCTCTCTCGGCATCACTCTCGAAACCCTTTCTTATTCTTCTTTCTTCTTCTATTGCCATTGTCTCAATAAAATAAAAAATAAACATTTCCACATATAACTGTAGACAGACAAACAAATAAATGGTATAAAGAATGGTACATAAAATCAAACAATAGTGAATAAAACAAGGGCCCCCATAACAAAGTGCTGGGGCCTCTTCGGCATCGTTTGGAGTGACACAATCAAACAGTTTACAGCACTCGAAGACATATGAACATACAAAAGAATGAAAAGCTAATGAAATATGTAGAAAAATACAACCGCAATGAAAAGCACATTAACCAGAGAGTAGATGCAGTTCATATAGCAATAAAAGTAATAACCTATTTATTGAAAATACTGTGATTCTTCCAATAACAGTACGTAATCTCAGGAATCCTGATTGTGATCAGTAGGAGAGGAATTCGTCCACATCTTCTCCCTCCTCTTGTCTCTCTCTGTCCTGTTTTAGACCTCCTTTGTGCTGCTCTTCATCTTCTCCACAGTCTCCTGATGGAGGGAAAAAGTTACAAGTCAGTCCATTCCGAGGTTCTGCCTGGGTTAGGGTTAGATAGGGTTAGGTAACAATCATGAATGTAACCGCCTATGAGGAAGGTCACCTGCAATTTACAGCCCTTTAAAAAGTGTATTAGTCAGATGACAAACTAACTCCTCCCTCAAGCTCAGCTAATCCTGCCTTGACTTGAAGAAGCTAGTTCTTAGATTCTTAATGATGTCCAACAAAACCACTTACGACTGTATGTCACATTTGACTTCACTTTACTTGTTTAAGAGTTAGTGCATGTAGTGTGAGACTATAAAATGCTCTTTAAATCAGCAAGCTCCTGCTTCTACTGAGGGATTCAGTTTCTGTGTGCCTGCAGTGTATTATGTGATAAACCCTAAGTAAAAACACATTTGCGGTGTGCTTCCTATTCATTATTTTATGGTTCCGTAAGATTAGTGTGCTTCCCTTGTAACCACACTCGTAATTAAGGTTGGTGTGTTCACTATCGTGGTCCACCTTTGTAACTACTGAGTGTGTCCCCTCTTTTTTTTAAAGGGGCAGAAGGCACACAGATTAGGAAGGAGTTTTTTAAAAGCGCTCCACTCTTTTATCTGTTAGAGAAATTATTTAGGTCTTCTCTGCGCTGTTTCTGTAAAGGAGGTAGAGCGATTGCTATAATTGCTCCCCTTATAGCTTTCGCATCGGAGACAATATGAGAATGCTTTCTTTCTATTGTATGTGGTGGTGCAGGTGTAGAACTGGGCTTTTATGCGACCCCATCCCTTTCTTCTACCTGCCGCCCTTCCTGGTATGGTCGGTTATGTGGCTGTAAAGCGAATATGGCTAGCTGCATATGCCGGCCAGATATTACTGAAAGTATGACGTCTATATTAACGTGCCTCCCTGATAGCGTGAGAGTAGAGTCCTAGAGGAAGAGACTGGGCATTCACGCTATAGCGTCTCACTCTGCCCTCTAGTGTCCCCTAGTGAATTAGGTTTAGGGGCAGTCTCAGTATTCTTCGTATTCTATAGAACGAGGGAACGATGGGCATTCGTGCTGTTTTGCGTCCCTGATCGCCATTCTGATCGCCATTCTCCCGCTGGAAGTGCTATGTGCTCCTTCTGTGAACACATGTTAATTGGCTAGACAAGACAGGAAAAGGGGACAATACCGCCATAGCGTCCCACTGTCGCTGACGTAATGCTCGAGATAATGTTAAAATGTTTCTCTGTGAATCTGAATTGAAGGCTGGTTCAGTTTTTGGTCACTAGGTGCAGTGTATGGTAAGCTTGGCTACGGTCTATAGCTCGCTGTTGGTTCACAAGCACAGCGGGCAGGCATTTTCACAAGTATGGCGTAGCGAGTATTTCGTTCCCCATAGCGTCATCTTTCTCGACGCAGTGTAGAGTTCCACTTAGAAAGGGAACTTCTCAGGTTAGGTTAGGACTGTCACCATGGTTCCCCGAGAAGGGGAACGAGACACTGCATCGCCTTGCCATTCTTCCGGACATGCCTGTACGTCTTCCTTCAGACAATTGGCTTTATGCACAGCTGCACTACTTCCTGAACTTTAGCCAGCTCCTTTGTTTCCTGTCTGCCATTATTGGACAAACTGATTAATCCAGGTGTGCCTGGCCTCAGTAACAATAATCAGGCACACCTGGATTAATCAGTTTGTCCAATAATGGCAGACAGGAAACAAAGGAGCTGGCTTAAGTTCATGAAGTAGTGAAGCTGTGCATAAAGCCAATTGAAGTTGATGACATCCTCTTCTCTTTGAACCATGGTTACAGTCGTCACCTGAGACAATTCTTTATATTTTTTTAAAGAAGTCTCTTATGCTCACCAAGGCTGCATTTATTTGGCTCAAAATAATAAAATATTATAAAATATTAACAAATGTTCTCTATTTGAATATATTTTCAAATGTAATTTATTCCTGTGATCAAAGCTGAATTTTCAGCATCATTACTCCAGTATGTCTTCAGTGTCACATGATCCTTCAGAAATCATTATAATATGGTGATTTGCTACTCAAGAAACTTTTCCTATTATTATCAATGGTGAAAACAGATGTGCTGCTTAATATTTTTGTGAAAACAGTGATACCAGGAAACCAAGATTCTTTGATAAATAGAAAGTAAAAAAAAAAAACAGTTATTCATTGAAATAGAAATCTTCTGTAACATTATAAATGCCTGGTTCTCAGTTTTAAACGGAATAAAAGGTTTAATTTCTTTAAAAAAAAAAAATTACCTTACTGACCCCAAACTTTTGAAAGTTTTTTCTCAATATATTTTGGTATTGAATGAAATATAAATATATTTAAGGCATTTTCTTTATCAGATGGGACAGTCCGATAGGAAGCAGTTAAAAATGAATTTGTAATAAATGAATGACATTAATTTGCTATGAAGTTAGTCAGCTGACCTGATGCTTGTTGAGTTCAGCCACACGACGGGTCCACTCCTCTTCAGTCATCTCCTCATCCCCATTAGTGTCAATAACTGGGCTTTTCTCTATGGAGCCAGTCCGTCTCATTATCATTTCATTATAAAAATCTACATTTATTATAAAATCAGTACTTTGGAGAAAAGTGGGGTAAGATGTGTCAGTCCCTTAACGTAAGAAACCTTCTTATAATGTGACCAAATACAGTTTTCAGAACTTCTCGTCACTTTACCACTTTTTTGTCAAGTCTTATTTCTATGGCCTTGTATTGCCAATGCTATCTGAAATATATATCTTGACATCCTGATATATATTTGGGTGAATTATTATTATTTTTTTATCTCAGTGTCCTTTTGCCTCGACTATGCAGTGTAAAGTGGCACAGTTTACCCCACTCTCTGCTAATCTATCAAAATATGATGATAAAATGTATTTGGTGATTTAAACTCACCATCACAGGTCATGGCGGTGCAGACCCAGTTTCCACACGCGCAGACGCAGCGGTTGCACTCCACCTGTGTCTCGGCGCCGTCCTCATAGGTCTCATCTTCCAGAGCACATTCTGTAATAATACACACACCATACCCATGTTACCACAAAAATATGTGCTCCAAAAATATGCGAAATATTTCAAAACAAGCTTTCAAAAAGCAAAAGAAGGCTTTGACATTGACCACCAACACTTTATTCTTTATTTACAAGCTTGAAATCAGTGACTTCTCTCAGAACATAGCCATTTTGTGTGAAAGGCATGCATTACATGAATGTGCCTCCAACCAAGTATGCCTTAGTCATTCCACTGTAATTTCCTGTTTTGAATTTGGGAATCTGGGACAATGTTGCTACAACCATTCAGGGGAAACTAGGGTAAATGAATATGACTGAAGTGTGCAGTTCTGAACAATCATGGCAAGCTGAAGCCAGGACATTTGCTTTTGATTCTGAATGATATACTATGAATGCTGTTAAGTAAGTTCAATGTAAACATAATTTATAAATGTGATATACCCTTCTCCATGATATTTATATTGTTCTATAGTATGTCCTTTTTCATATCCTGTGACGGATACACAGGTCCATGTTCTGAGCAGTGTTATTTTAATATTATGTATATACTATTATGTTTTTTTTATTAATATTTTTAATAAACTTGTATTTTTATATAATCATTTTAGTTTGAGTTTTAGTCATTTTGTTATGCGTTTTTGTCATTTTTATTAGTTTTTGTTCATTTTATATTTCTATTAACTTATACATTTTTATTTAAGTTTGTTATAGTAATTTTAGTAGTACTTCAACTTGAACTACTTACCAGTTAGTTGCAAAGACAACATATCTTCTTTTCATTTAATTTTTCCATCTAGCATTTCGAGTTTTTTTTCAGCTTTATTTCAATTAACAAAACATTTTTCATAGCTTTAGTTTTAGTTGACAATAGGTTTGAATGTGTAAACTCTGCTAGAGAAGGCAGTTCCTCCCACTGAACTTTCACCTAGTTCTGCATACGGAGCCGATCAGCCTGAGGAACATTCTGTGGAAGAGCGGAAAACCCCTTTCTGCCTCACACAACTACAATTCTGGGAAAACTATGGAACTGAACATTCCTTTAAGAAGGTTCTGTAATACAGAAGCAAAACCTTTATTATGAAGGAATTAAAACTCCACCTTCAGAGTAAAAAAGGACTACGGCTTTGTACACAATCTTGACTGCCCACATTGTCATTATACAAGTGGTGCATTTTTTGTTCGCATATGTGGTTTAAATTGCATCTGCTCATATTTTCTGGATTCACCAACGTTTCTGACTTTTGCATATTGGTTGAAAAAAGTCTGTATAATCCACATGCAGAAAGAAGGAAAGACAGAAAGAGACTTACTCTTCTCAGGAGGGTTGAAGCCTGGTTTCAGGCAGTTGAGGAACTCATCAAAGCTCAGTTTCCAGTCGGCATTCTCATCTGAGAGCTCGATAAGAGCGTCCACACAAAGACTCCTGCGAGATACATGTGGGATCATTTGTAAATTCCTTTAAGGACAAAACATTTTATTCAGATGTGATCAAGAGGGCATTTTTGGAGTTAAAAATACAAGTCCTATTTGTGTTTTCAATGCACTATCCAGCTAACCAGTAGGGCAGTGAAATGTTTGCCCGTTATTATCAGTGTTTGTAGAGTTTTTCCACTCTAGGTCATCCTGACCGCCAGATGGACACAATAAACTCCCATGACCTTTACTGTCAGAGAAACAGGAAGAAGTCCAGTGTGAAAGGGATTATTATGATGATTATAACTGTAGTAGTGGATAGAGATTGTTAGTGGCTAATGGAAAATGTAAAGTCTGTCCTCATTTAGACAAAAGGGTACAAAATCCTGACTTCTCTTTTGCATTCCACTGAACAGTTGTGTCTACATTTTGTTTATCGACCAGCTTCCACAGAAAAAAACAGTTAAAGATCAGGAGAACTTTTAACATATATTTTACGTATCGTATAGATATTTTCAGCTGATCATTGAAATGAATGGAAATTAAAGGTGTAATTCCCACTTTCCCCTCCCTCCATTATTATATTAATGTTGATTACTAATTTTCAATGACAGACTTATAAACTATTTGGTTTCCCCAATCTTGCAAATTTGGTTATATCCTTGAGTACCAACATAATGTAACATTAGACCATCTTTTCTAAACCACCTTACTGACACCAAACTTTTGACCGGTAGTGTAGTGGTTTTGTGAGTGAGTGTGACTGTGTGTGTTTTCACCTGAGTAGACGGTTGTTCTCCTCTTCAACGTACGAGTTCATCTGAACGGCGGTCCCATTGTGCTGAATGAACTTGAGCAGCTCTGAAGAATCCAGCTGAGTGTCTCCGTTATCATAATTCTACCAAGAAGCATAAGAGCATACTGAAAATAAATGTAATGAACTCATGTATTTTCACACTTGAAATAGTTAACCCTCTATCAAGTAAAAGTAATCCTGGGTTATCCTGCTTCAAGTTTCACACTGCTCATAATTTACCTGTGGTTAACAATTAATCTTGGTTTTCATAAACTGACACATGGTTTCAAACTACATCCCTAAACCCTGGGTTTATAAGTCACAGTGTTTCTGTTACTGTCCAAAGCACAATAATGTAATGCACGGTTGGGGAAGTCTTAGGTTTCGCACTGGTTTTACACCCAAACCAAGTTAGAATGTTGTTTCGGATCAATGTTTCATAACCCCTGCTTCTAAATAACAAGTGTGAAACATTCCTTTACCCGGTCCCGGGGTTAAAACTTAAGCGTGAAAAGGCCTAGTGTTGAGATCAGACAAAAAAAGTATGCTCAATTTAATTAACTTTTACATTTTGATTAACAATTACAGTTTTTCTCGATTGCTTAAACACATTTCTTGAAACTATGCCTCGTATTCTCAAAACAGTAAACACAAATCCATAACGTCTCACCCAATTCCTCAAACATCCTATTTTCAGGTCAAAATGAAGCTCTACACTCAAAACCATTCACTCTTGCTGAAAAACCAAACTTTGCCCTCAGACAGGACACACAAGCCCTCAAAAATACACACACTACAACATAGTCTTACACACTGGTGCTATAAATTCAAAACAACATTTCCAAAACTGGTAATTCATGTTGCTCCCCCCCCCCATCTTTTTTTCCCCCCTCTCTCCTACTCTTACGTAAGATGTGAGCATCATATGACAGTAAAAGAGCAAACACAAACCTTATTCAAATATGGAATTGTATTGGAATGGTAAAGAGTGTTGGTACATGCCTCCACTCAAGGATACAATATGATGAACAAGTCTAAGAATGTTCCACATATGGTTGAAATACCATCATTGGCCTAGAAAGATAACATTCTGGGAGTCAAGACTATAAAGGAGAAAGGATGCCCTCCCTTCACTGTCACACTCTGCAGCCACTCTGTGTGACTGATGAGGTTTATGTTCTTGAAAGAAAAGGCCAGCAGTCGTACAAAGACAATTGTAAATGTTTGTCTCTTATTCAGTGATATAAATTTGTTTGCCACCACACCTCCCTGAAGGTTCTGATGATGGAGGCGACGGTGAAGCGACTCAAATTTGGCTGAACTCGTTGCCCAGCCTCCCTTATATAGTCATACCATGGACAAGGACATTGCCAACTAAAGTGGCTTGAATTTCATCCGAGACTGCTTGTCTTCTTGCCCTTGCCCTTCCTTCTCCTCCTATTCCTCTTCCTGTTCCTCTTCCTCCTCCTCTTCCTCTCCCTCCTCGACATATTGCTTAATTTCTCTGTGGATCCATTGTTCCAAAACTCAGTTAAATGATTTTTATCTTTTATAAAAGATTGTATAACCTTTTATCTATCGATTGAAGGATCTGACTGATGTGTGTTCAATTTTGACTCTTAGTGTTTTCACCTGGGTAATTGTGTGCTAACTGAGCTGAAGCTGTGCTGACTTGAGTGAACAATTTTGAATGCTAGTGCTTTCTAAATGACCACGTGGTGTAGGCAAGGGATTTGTGTGTAGAGTTTTGCTTTGACAGTTCAACAAATCTGACTAATGTGTCAAAACAGGGGAATAGTGTTCATAGTTCAGTGAAATGGGTGTGCTTTTTGATAAATGGCATTATGGTTTTGATATTTTAGTTCAAAAGCCTGGTTATAGTGTTTAAGCAATCGAGAAAAACTGTAAACAAATACTTACAATATTTTTTACTACAATTAATTGAAAGTTGATTGAATGAGTTATGTTAAAATTATGAAACTGCTTGACACTGTTTTTTTGTTGAATACAGTCGAGAAGGTCATGATGATCACTATTAGACAGGTCATTTTAAGTCAAGGAAACAGCATGAAAAGTAGCAAGATGTAAATATAAAATGTCTAAGTTATCTAATATCCTTAAAGTTCCCATGAAATCAAAATTGACATTTTTTTGTCTTTTCGTACGAATATGTTAACTGTAAAAGCTATTGTGTTCCAAAACAATAACAAAATTTGCATTTAGAAGATATAAGCGTTCAAACCGATCAATATGGGATGGATCAATGATTTTGATGGTATCAATCTACATACACTTCAGCTTCTCATCAGATATTCTGTCCAATCAAATGCTCCCTCGAATCTAAAGAATGAAGTCTTCCTGAAATGGGAGTGTGAGACGCAGCAGGCCAGACTCTGAGGTTATCTGGTCTCTGTGCAAGTGCTGCAGTGTTTGCTCTGAGCAGATAGTCTGATGACTAATATGTCTGATATCCACTCGGTAGTCTGCAAATGTGTGTAGGACAGTAGGTAGATGAGACTGTGCGCTACAGTATATGAACCCTTTTCACATTTACGGGCTTCTCTGAAGCGGAAGTCATCATAGTTTGGGTAAACATCTACTGTATATTAGTGAACGGAAATTATAGGCTATATGAAATATTTTTTGTGTATGCACATTTTGCTCCAGTAGCAACAGAAAAAAATCCACAATGGTGTTTCTTTACTAAAGAAGTAAAAAAATGTAAAGAGATTGATTAAGGTGGTCAGAAGAGAGAAAGATGAAGTGTATTTGGTGTCACTCCTTTAGCTGATGTATTAGAAACTCTAGGTATCTGAAATTGAATGCCAAGTTTACCAAGTATATTGTTATAAATGTACATTAAACTTTGTAAAAAATAAAAATACAAACAACTTTGCTAGATTTGCGATGTTAATAACTGTGGAAACACTTCATCGCAGGAAAAAAAAGCCATTTCAATTCTTCAGTTTATACAGACACATGCATCAGTGATCAACATAAGCTACTTTGAAACTTTTACACATCATGCACTTGGTTTAATCTTATCTCAACAGTTTGTCAGAAGACTGTACTCTGCCTGGTACAAGTGATTTTGTCATGTTGACCAATAAACAAGAGTAAAAGGACATGTTCATGATTGAGTCAAACTTCCAGGCTTTGTTCTCCAACATTTGAAGGGAAAATTGACCTGAAATTTTGAATTATTCCATCATTTATTCCCCTAATGTCGATCCAAACCTGAACATGACACTGTTTCTTCTGTGGAACACAACAGAATCTATTTTGTAGAATGTTTCAGTGAAAGTCAATAGGGTTCAAATCAACATTTGACCGCATTGACTTCCATTGCTTGGAGAAAAATCTATTTTCTTTTGAGTTCCACAGAAGAAGAAAATTCATACAGGATTGGAATGAGTGAGCAAATATTGACAGGAATTCATTTTGGGGTGGACTATCCCTTTAAATACTTTAGAGAAGGATGTTTAACTGATCTGGGGTGCGTTTCCCGAAAGCATCGTTAGCCAACTATGGTCGCAAGTTGGCCGCAAATCCCATTGAACTCTATTGGTAACGACGGAACTTGCGACCATAGTTGGCTAACGATGCTTTCGGGAAACACACCCCAGAGCAGCATATGGATTATTGGTCAGGTGATAGCAGTCAGTCAGATTTATGGATTGTGCTGACAGCTGTAGAGACTTGTTCATCAGCCATCTGTGCGTCACATCTCTGCCAGTGCAAAGGTGAACTAATACTGAAACAGACTGATCCATCAAAAGATCCAACAAACTGCTGCTATGCAAACAGAAGTCATTTTAGGTGTATTTTACACGCCTTAGGAGGCTGTCAGAAAAATGATGTGGCGTGTCCTGAAGGCAATTTGAAGAGCGGCAGGAGGGCGCAGACATTCCCTGGTGGAGGCTAATATACAAAAAGCCCTGATGCTGGAGGATCTAGACCAGAATCAATCTCATTCCTTTCATGACTACACTTCAAACTGATATCAATGCAAAAGAGATGTCAAAAGAAATGTTCAAAAATGTGGAAACCAAAACTGTCACTTAACCTATTCTGCTTATGTTATGATGTTAATAATTCCGCATATTGTTGGCAGTGGCGGAGCCATATGCCTGAAGCGCCATTTGCTTCACACCAGACACATCGCGCTCTCAAGTTCAAGTTCACAAAAGTGCCGTGGATGGGTTTTGCTGTAAAACGGTAACAGAAAGGACAATCTAATTTACGCACCTGTTTTTGTTTTCTGTTATGAATCAGTTCATTCAGTTTTTGGTTCGGTCTCATTTATGTATTTACGTGGTTGTTATACTATTACTCCTGAAATCTCCTGCGTGTTATTGTTGTATTAATATTAAAGACTGTTTTTGTTGTTCACTTCATCTTGCGCTTTATTGAAGCCACTTTACACTTTAGCCACATATACACTAATTTGCATACATTTTAAGAACATAAATCTGAACATTGGATGAAGCCAGGTTAAAAATTCTTGTTTCATTTTGTTGACATATTAAAATTTTAATTTACTGCAGGATTTTTTTTATCTCTTTTTTTTGGATTAAAATGTTTTATAAAATCAGGTAGATAATAAATTAACAAACCTCACTGTACAAACCTTCAGAATAAAACTATAAAGATTGATGTAAGTGCTACTGAAGTGGAGATTTCTGACAGAGTTCAGAACTCAGTTTGAGAAAACAGCCTTTAAAGATATGCATTCGAATTAAAATCTACAGATGGAAATACATAAAGTGCAATAAAAACACTTAAAAGTCTATTTTGGATGTTTTCTTTGAAACGTAGCCCACAATCTAAAAACTTTTTGCCTGTAGTGTCTTGTCATAAAGTACGGAAATATACAAATTCTTGCTGGTTTAATATTTGAAATGACTGCACACACCTTGAAGTACTTGAGGAGGATATCAGTGAAGTTGGAGCCCTTAGTGAACCAGCCGTCTGGAACAACCTCTGTCTGCAGCCAGTCGATCACACGTCTGCGCAGCTCGTTACGATCCGCAACGTAACACACAACTTCAGAGATCACACACACAGGCAGACAGACACAAAGTTAGACAGAAGAACATGATGTAACACATATATCATATGCTAACTGGTGTTTCAGGTTTAGTAAATTCAGCTTTATCCTCCTGGGATCCAGCAAGTCAGTTTTGTTCTTGACAGAGCACATTTTACTGATTAGATCCACTGGTGCATCATGAAGAGGACATCCTGGGCTTCTTGGGAAATGTTTGGGAGTTCTCTTCTTGGTTTTTAAAAATGTGTGATTATCATGTCCATTTGATAAATGTCGGATATTTGAAATAAACCAATTTTAAGGAATGAGAAACAGTATTCTGAAAGAAAAAAGATCTGCATAAAAAAACAGAAAATGTCCTAGTAATTTTCTGCAAGAATATGATCTGCTAAGTTTGCGGACACGAAAGGGCAGTTTACACGACACCGTTTTCAACTAAAAACGTAAAACTTGCGTTCAATGCGTTCTGGACATTCATTTACACGACAACAGCATTTTGGGGGCCTGATAATGCAAACTTTTGAAAACGGGATTGAAAGTGCAAGTTTTTGAAAATGAAACCACTACCATCTCTATGTAAACTACAAAAGCATGAATTTTGTGTGTTACGTGTTCAGTCTATAGGCACGTAGTGTTTCTTTACAAAGTGGCATGGCATCGTTTTCACAGAACCGTGTGAACGGGGATCGTTTTGCAACTTCGCAGTTTGCCACGTCAATTTGCAGTTACATCAAAAAAGTAATGTGATTATGTAATGTACGTTACTTGTAATGCATTACTTTACTCGATACATCAGAAAAGTAATCGGATAACGTAATGCACGTTACTTGTAATGCTTTACTTGTTACATCAAATGTAATCTGATTGCGTAATGCACGTTAATTGTAATGCTTTACTTGTTACATCAAATGTAATCTGATTGCGTAATGCACATTACTTGTAATGCTTTACTCGTTACATCAGAAAAGTAATCGGATTACGTAATGCACGTTACTTGTAATGCTTTACTCGTTACATCAGAAAAGTAATCGGATTACGTAATGCACGTTACTTGTAATGCTTTACTTGTTACATCAGAAAAGTAATCTGATTACGTAATGCACGTTACTTGTAATGCTTTACTTGTTACATCAGAAAAGTAATCTGATTACGTAATGCATGTTACTTGTAATGCTTTACTTGTTACACCAGAAAAGTAAGCGGATTACGTAATGCACGTTACTTGTAATGCTTTACTCGTTACATCAAAAGTAATCTGATTACATAATGCACATTACTTGTAATGCTTTACTCGTTACATCAAAAGCAATCTGATTGCGTAATACACGTTACTTGTAATGCTTTACTCGTTACATCAGAAAAGTAATCTGATTACATAATGCACATTACTTGTAATGCTTTACTCGTTACATCAAAAGCAATCTGATTGCGTAATGCACGTTACTTGTAATGCTTTACTCGTTACATCAAAAGCAATCTGATTGCGTAATGCACGTTACTTGTAATGCTTTACTTTTTACATCAGAAAAGCAATCTGATTACGTAATGCATGTTACTTGTAATGCTTTACTTGTTACATCAGAAAAGTAATCTGATTACGTAATGCATGTTACTTGTAATGCTTTACTCGTTACATCAGAAAAGCAATCTGATTGCGTAATGCATGTTACTTGTAATGCTTTACTTGTTACATCAGAAAAGTAATCTGATTGCGTAATGCACGTTACTTGTAATGCTTTACTCGTTACATCAGAAAAGCAATCTGATTGCGTAATGCATGTTACTTGTAATGCTTTACTTGTTACATCAGAAAAGTAATCGGATTACGTAATGCATGTTACTTGTAATGCTTTACTTGTTACATCAGAAAAGTAATCTGATTACGTAATGCATGTTACTTGTAATGCTTTACTCGTTACATCAGAAAAGCAATCTGATTGCGTAATGCATGTTACTTGTAATGCTTTACTCGTTACATCAGAAAAGTAATCTGATTGCGTAATGCACGTTACTTGTAATGCTTTACTCGTTACATCAGAAAAGTAATCTGATTGCGTAATGCACGTTACTTGTAATGCTTTACTCGTTACATCAGAAAAGCAATCTGATTACGTAATGCATGTTACTTGTAATGCTTTACTTGTTACATCAGAAAAGTAATCTGATTACGTAATGCATGTTACTTGTAATGCTTTACTCGTTACATCAGAAAAGTAATCTGATTGTGTAATGCACGTTACTTGTAATGCTTTACTCGTTACATCAAAAAGTAATCTGATTTTTGTATGCATGTTACTTGTTATGTGTTACTCCCAAAACTGCTGATTTCAGATGAGATTGAAAACACCTGATCACTAGTCTGAAAACATCAATAGATCAATGTAGATTTCAGTCTGAGGTTTTCTCAGAGAGGAGAGCTACACTAGAAATGTGTCTTTTTTAAACATAATTAGATTTATAAGCTAATAAGTGTAAATCAACATACGCTGGTAGACTGGAGGGAGCGTGAGCATTTTCTACATAGCCCGAGTTAGGTTTTCACAGAGTTGTGCCTCCACCAGATCTTTGATGGAATCACGTCCTCATGTTCTGATTTCAAGACACGCAAAGTTCAACTTCTATAAAGGCAAGGGCGTAGATTTGGTTTGAACATTGGGGGGGTTGAAGTTTGGGTATGCCTCCTGATATTGTGATCATGGTATAAATAATGAGGGGGTTGTAATGCATAGATTTAAATATTGGGGGGGTTATATCCCCCCCATCCCCCCCACAAATTACGCCCCTGTATAAAGGTCTTCTCCGTCTGCTGGTCGAACGGGAACAAACTCAATTGCGTTTGCAATTACACAGTAGTATATTTGTATATATTTTATAGTTTTCACATGATTTTATATCATCATGCCTGGGTTTTACACACAGTATTGCTGTGTTATCACCGTATTATGTTTAATACAGTATCTTATTTGATAAATATATTACGCATACTGTTCTCTGTAAAATGCTAAAGAACATGTTTATTTTAAACGCCTATGAAATGTAGGCACTGCTGCTTCATATGTACAAGTTTTCATACAAAGATACAACCGATAAAGTTATTTCATAACCAATGATTTCATTATTGTATGCGTCAATGTTACAAAAGCATGTTTAAAAAGGAAATGAGTTCAAATTGGTTGGTGATTGAAAAACCATCACTCTTGCCAATAGCATCTTTATTTTCTTAATAGCTGATGTCCTCTATAGAGCACATACAATAAACTCATGGTCCAAATACTTTAAAGCCATAAACAAAATTGCAAAAACTTGGTCCCAAGAGATTAAATACATTCTCTACATCTAAAGAGTTATTTTGAGCGCAAGTAATTCCACTGTCGCCGTGTCAGAGAGGTTATGTCTGCTCTCAGTATCTCTGAGCTCATAATATGTCGGTAATTAATGGTAATCTGTGCAGCCGACAGATAAGTAGAGTCATCAGAAAGCTCTGGTTTGGCTCTTAGCCAGTGGTCATAATTCAACTCACCTGGGCTGGCTGCAGCCTTCTCCTTCTTCTTCTCTGTAAGAGACAAAGATAAACGTGAGTGGAGTGATGTCTCACAATCTGCACGTAGTTATGACTGAATCTTCCCTTGGTTATCATCTGAGCAACTACTCGCATCAAATATAGATAAGAGGTTACAACGTCACCTCATAGCATGTCGTAATGTAACAATATACGTGGTCAGAATAACATGATAACAGACTTAGACCTGGATTTGACCGTTTGTTCAACGTCCAATGATCCAACACTCTTTGCTGAGATGGTAATAAGTCTAAGACGTCAATGTTACAGAGCTGGACCATTGATGAGTACATTAGTAAGAACAAGAGAGAATGTCCTGTTCCAGTCAGATAAACTGTTCCCAAGGGATCTTGCCAAAGTGAATCAATACATTATGTTCCTATCTCTTATTTTATCCCGTTATCAATCAGAAATGTTGGATGAAGCTTATCCTCTATTCTTACTATAAGCAGGATCCCAGCGTTCCCATGATGTCTTTCCTGGGTAAACAATATCCCAAACAACTTTTAATGAGATTTTGTTTACCACATCTTTTACTATGTTAATAAACACAGACTGTTCAAAATGCATACACAATATTTCTAGCCACTAGCTCTGGTTATTAATTTATTACAAGTATGTTAAGAAATCAATACATGTATTCAGCAACGATGCCTTACATTTTATAAAAGTGACAGAAATCTTTTACAAAGAAAAACATCATTACTATTTCAAACAAATTCAGTTCTTTTGAATCCTAAAAAAAAATATTAGTTTCCACAAAAATATGAAGCAGCACAACTGTTTTCAACATTGATGATAATAAGAAAACTACCACTTTGACGCTTCGAACAGTTCATAAAGAGATCGTAAAACTACTCCATAGGAATTGAGCGGTTTAGTCCACATTTTCTGAAGAGACATGATTATTATATATGATGAACAGATTGAATTTAGGCATTTATTTTATTGAACTTCTGCAAAAACCAATGAGGTTCAAACACGCTGCGTAACAGGAGAATGAACCTCATTGGTTCTCACACATCAAGTGAACAGTTGAGCTTCCGTTTACCACAACTGATGTGTGAGTTGATGAATGTTTATGTGAATAAAAGCCTGAATTCAATCTGTTCATCATATAAAGCGATCAAGTCTCTTCAGAAAAATTGTACTAAACCACTCAATTCATATTGATTAGTTTTACGATCTCTTTATGAACCTTTTGAAACGTCAAAATGGTAGTTGCGTAGCTGTCAATGGAGGGCTTGATTACGTTCCCGGTCTATTTTTATCCTCAGTTCTGTTTGATCAGTTTTCCTGTCTTCTTTAGTTGCTTGTGTTTGCTCCCTATGATCATTCCTGTGGATTTTCTTGTGGATATTCTGAATAAAAACCTGTTTTTCTTTGAGTTCATTTTCATCATGCGATTACTAACAGCAACCAAGCGTCACAGTCGTCACTTTTTTTTTTTTTTTATTATGTTTGTTCATTGATTGTGAATTTTGTATACTAAGGGCCAAATTTACTAAACAGGGAAAATCACCATTAGAGCGCAATTCCAAAAAAGTGCCGATGCGTGTGATCTTTTCACTACGTGTCTTTAGTAAATCCCGACAGTAGTTTTTTAACACCAAAGGAGGGTTTGCGCCGGATCAAGCTGTTAATAGATCTGGCCCTAAGTGTTGATATCTGTGCTTGCATGTTTCACAAATTGTACTAAAACTCTCCTAATGATGATAACTACATTGGGGCTTAATTGTTTATTAAAGGTCATATTGTATCTTTATTATAATGTGTAATTTTATAGTACAATCTTAGTTTAGAATTGACTGTTAAATCCCTGCAAAATCACAGGGAATGTAATTTCCGGTCAATATCACCCTTCAATTCATTCCTAATCAGCCTATATGCCTGTGGTTCATTCCTATTCTCCTGCATGTTGGTCTCCTCCACACACCTTTGCAGTGTCCTTCATGGGCCACTTGGATCTTGAGTCCAGTAAGACAGGCGTCACGGTGCAGTTCGCAGTGGTTACGGTACGTTTTTCCATTACTGCCACACACTGAGCGCTTATGAGGTTTGCATTGCTGCAGGAGAAAAACACAACAATTTAAACTATCACAACTGCCTATGTCTCAAGCAAGAAAAACAAATGAAAGAAGCAAAGGCACTACAGGGTGAATGTCATTTGAGATATATTCAATATTTTTGCTGTATAATCTAAGTAGACACATAAATGGTTTATGTAGCCTACATTATGCATGACCCCAGTCCCACACACACACTGCTGTTATTGTATAAAAGTGTTCATTCAGGATATTGCTCTGAACAATTTTGACTTAAAGTCTAACAATAAAGTGCCAGCAACCCAGACCAATATAGTATGGTGGAAAAACTTCAGGGAAGTGAAAAGTTTCAAAAGTGAACAGGTTTCATCCCTTATAAAAAAAAAAGTGTGCTTGTATTATATTGAATGTGTACTTCAAATCTTTATATTGCTCTATAAAACTGTACTTGCAGATAACGTAATATGAATTAAATAAACTTAAAGAGAGGACACTTTTATGACTGTTTCTTAACACACTTTTTTAAAAGCACACTTTGTGATGATGTAAAGTTAAAAAACGCATTTTAAATCGTCATGGTTTAATAATCTTTTGTTGTGCTTTAAAAAAGTACACTTATTTTGATGTGTCTGACTAACATACTAAAAGCACATGTAAAGTACTTGATTATAATGTTAACTGTAGTGTGCTATTCGCTATTACACTTAAAGTTAATATATTTTAAATGCACCAAATTTAAAGAATATTTTTGTTTGCCATAAATGCTTGTCAGTATATTTGGCAGTATACTTTAATCATATTTACCATACAATAGATGTAATTATGAAATTATATATAAAGATGTACCGAAGTCCTTAGGTGGGTCAAAAAAACACTCTAAAATTCTGCATAATTGCATTTAATCTAAATTTAAACTATAACACATTTTCATTTAATTGCAATTAACATTATTAACAATAATCATTACATTCGGGTCACAATTAAGTATGCGTATATTATTTGTGCAATAAGTGGTCTTTTTTTTTTGCAAACTTGTACTTTTTTGTTTTCAGTGTTCTCAAAATCACGGAAAAAACAACAACAATAGATCATTATAAAAACTTGGAATTTTCAAAACCTGGAACAGTCACAGAACTTACTAAAAAGTCATACAAAATTTTCTAGTTTTACTCAGATCTAAATATTTCATCAGCTAGAAATTGCTTTTCTGCAATCTCTATAAAATGTTTAAAAATCCTCATCCAGTCATCCAAGGAAATATAAAGGTCAAGGAAATGCATTGGTCAAATCCCTGCATATTTCCTATAGAAGGTTTTCTTACCTCAATGCACAGACAGCTGGGGTCTCCTTTCTCGTTCACGGCACACTCTCTTCCAGCGCCACAGAACACATTCGCACACACCTTTGATTTGCTCTGAGCCTCCTGCCGACAAACACACAGAAATAAACAACATTAATAAAACAGACACACAGCTGCAAAACTCTGATTAGGTACTGCCCTTACAAAAAATAACTTTATTCAAGTCTGCTATCAGTACACTTCTTTTAAACTCAAAATAAGAAAGTATACTATGAGTCGATTTTTATGTACTTCTCAGAAATATACTTTATGTCCTTTTCGGAAAACATACTTAAAATTGCACAAGAAAGTTTAAGTATATTTGCCCTATGTACTCAATATTTTGATCGAGATATACTTAAAAGTATAATTTAGTATTCAAAGTATACTTGGCTGTAATTTTGTTTCTTCTTTGGATTGAACAGCCTTTTAAATACTTTTTTCACATAGTTGTACTGTCTTATAAACTTACATTGTTTGAAAATATAGATTTTTAAAGAAAACAGAGATGTTCCTTATTCTGAGTATGTGAATTTTTGAGTTGCCCACTGGTAGTGTAAGAATTTACTTCAAATCTACTAAAAGTTAGTTCAAGTATACAAATTAATACATAAATAGTAGTATATTTAGTGCAAAAATAATATATAAATAGTAAACTGTAAGTATGGTTAAGTTCACTTAAAGAAATCTTACAAGTATACTTGTAGTATAAAACTACTAAACTAGTAGTTTACTGAGAGTACACTTCAAAGTGTACTTTCACAAACAAACAAAAAAATGTGTTACAATGATTTGACTAATAAACTATAAGTATACCTATAAGTTCATTTGTAGTATTGCAGTACAACTGAAAAACAGTTCTAAACTAGTTGTGTACTCAAAGTTTACTACTGTTACACTTAATGTACACCTAAACGTATACTACACTAAAAAGTGGGCCAATTTGGTCCCAAGTAGTATTGAAACAGTACACTTATACACAAGTATACTTCAAGTACATTGATATTAGTACACTTACTACATAACGTATACTTAAAAAATATACTTGAACTTTACTTTAGTATACTTAAAATGAACTTTTTGTTTTTTTGTAAGGGTGGGCAGAAACAAAGTAAGTTTGTGCACATACAGACTCTCACCACCAGAGGGCGGCTGAAAAGGCATCTGCTGCAAAAGCACTATTTCGTATTTTTAAATGTCGGATTCTGGAATTATTCAGTTGACATTTAAACCCCACATTTAGCATGCATAACGCTCACTTCTCACAAACGACTGTTTGTGAAGGTTGTTTTGTGGTTTGACATCTCTATTCGAATAGCTCATGAAACCAGGGCGGACTAAAAAAACTCTCGAAACAGAAACTAGCGTGGGCTACAGGACCACAAATTCACTTTTACCACAAACATAGACAAACACACTTGCTCTTTCTCTCTCACACACAGTGTTTCCTCTGGGGACAGAAGATTGATAACTATCTCTTAAAATGACCGGACTCTCTCCACTTTAAACACTCGGGAGAGCCTCCTGCCACCAGTTTCCCTGACAACTAGCGGTTCTCCTTGAAAACTAGGACAACCTTTCTATAACGTGTGTCCCACAAGGCACAGATGCATTAAAAATATAACAGCGGTCGTGTCCGGTATAGACATGCAGGGTGTTAGTAAGGATGAATCAATCGCTCTGTAATATTGCCTACCAATTTAGGCCTACTCTTGTTTAAGTTTTATCCGTTTATAACACTTGTATATACCTTTAAATAAATAAATACATTTTAATAATAATAGCCTACTTTTGAAATAAAGCTAAGTATATTGGTATAGAGACTTATTGACTTACTTACTCTTACGTGTATATGCTCCATGTTGACTGTATTATTTTCATTTTTGGGTGAACTATCCCTTTAAATCATGTAAATCACAATAGCCTATATAAAATAAAAGTATCTGGTAAATTAAATTTTAATTTCTATTTTAATTTCTTTTTAATTTCTTATTAAATACAAATGTGAACATAAAAATGATATAAAATTTGTACAAATATAAATTAGAAAATAAGCATGATATTTAACATGCCAACAGATTAACAGATGGAGGGGATTGTTTCTCTTTCAAATAGATGCTGTTCTTTTGAAATTTCTATTAATAAAATGATCCTGAAAAATGTATCAGTTTCCACAAATATATTAAGCAACTCTTTCCAACATTTATAACAACAATATTAGTGTTTTCACTGTATTTCTGATCAAGTACATGCATTAAAAAAATCTTGCTGACCCCCATACTTTTGAATGGTAGGGTTAAATCATCATTATCCACAAAACATTGAATACAAAGAAGACCTCAAGGTCCATCAAAAGTGATCTACTCTCTTCTACCAGCAGATGGAGCAATGACATCAGGTTTGTGGGCCGTTCACACGGAACGTGTTTTTTCGTTTAAAACTATGGACAAAGCACAATGAAATGGTTTCAGCATGTTTCTTAAACGTTTAACTCAACACTCCTAAAAACGCAACAATACGCAAGAACACGTCCTGTAGGATAAAGTTCAAGTGCATGTTTAAAAATAGACACTAAATTCATGTAGATTAGACAGCGCTGGGGTTTTTACACTGCGCTCTTTTTTAGTTCCACTTAACTTTCTCTCTGATTTATGTGTAAGGTCAGTGAATGTGCCTCACGTCTGAAAAATTCAGACCAACTCCCTTTTTTTACTCTTTCTTTTTTTTGTGTATGTGTGTGTTCCTCTAATATCCCCCTGCTATCCAGGACCCCAGACTCCACACCACAGCAAAGTCATGTGAACAGAGAGCTAGCCAATCACGTGCTGCCAAGTTGAGCCTGGAGTAACGATTTAGGAGTTTCCTGAAATACCCCTCCTGCTTTCCCAAGCCTACATAGAGTCCAACCATAATCAAATGCAGCCTGTGTGTGTATGCGTGTGTGTGTTCAAAAAGGGTGTCGTCACATCTGAAATCTTGCCTGTTCTTTCCTTTCCTATGAACCATGATTGCTGGTTCCACCCTGGACTTACTACACACTTACAAACACACACAAACACACACATGGACAGACCCTTCCCCCCTTCCAGCTCATGCGTGAGTCATACAATGTAAGCAAACTTTCCAGAGTGAGATTTTCTATCCCAAGGCCTGCATTCTTAGAGGGATTTGGCCAGTGCTGTTCTAAAATAGATCAACAATCATTTCTATTCACCATTTGCTCCGATTGAGGTCATCAGAGGACATGCCGACACAACGCTGCCGTATTAAAAGTTTATGGGATATTCACTTGAGAGAGTTTTGTCCTGACAATAGAGGAAGATACAATTGCGGACCAGCGGTAACAGAGGTACATTAAAGGAGAGAGAAGAAAACCCAAGCCTCATGCATAAATGAATCTCTTTCTCTACAGGGAAGCTACACTGACATTTAAACGAATGAACATTCTAACGTACTTTAGCTAAATCAAATCAAAAAGCATGTTTCCATGACAACCAGGCAGGGGGGCTTGAAGAGAGCTATACAACTTACTGTAGGAGAGAGTAAATGAGAGATGGGCTACAAGATGGCTGAAGCTGAACTATGACCTCCAAGACTTCATTGCACACATGATGCTCTCAGACTCTTAAACAATCGTGTTGTTATCATCTCTCTCTCTCTCTCTCTCTCTCTCTCTCTCTCTCTCTCTCTCTCTCTCTCTCTCTCTCTCTCTCTCTCTCTCTCTCTCTCTCTCTCTCTCTCTCTCTCTCTCTCTCTCTCTCTCTCTCTCTCTCTCTCTCTCTCTCTCTCTCTCAGCTGTTTCCTTTATTGGCCGTATTAATGTTGTTAAATTACTGTACAAATATACACATCTGAGCCTAATTCAATTTTTGTCTTGTTTTCCATACAGTAAAAATATCTCAAATAAATTTACCTAAGAAGAAAAAGTGTGCAAGATAATAAGGGTTTTCAGAGAATATACACTAACGATTAAAATGTTTTGTCATACGTTCATTTTAATAAATGTATATATGTATTTTTCTTTTAACAAGGATACATTCAAATTAATCAGAAGTAAGAGTAAAAACATTTAGAACGTTATAAAAGATTTCTACTTCAAATAAATGCTTTTCTTTTATACTTTCTATTTATCAAAGAATACTGAAAAAATGTACGGTTTCCGCTAATTAAAGTGCCCCTATATGCTGTTTTAAAGGTTCCTAATTTTGTTTTGGAAGTCTCCTACAATAGGTTTACATGCAGTAAAGGTCAAAAAGCATAAACATTTAGGCCTACTCATAATATACATTGCAGCATCACCTCTTTTCTCACAGTGTCTGAAACAGTTTGATAAAAGATCCGGTCCCTCCAAACCCCTCCTTTCCGAGAATCTACTCTGCTCTGATTGGTCAGATGGCCCAGACTGTTGTGATTGGTCTGCTGCTTACAGCACGTGTTGGAAACGAAACGGCCATTTACCATATCTGAATTTTATCTTCGGAGCTTCCTCAGCGCCTGATAGGCCTACACCGTGATACGAACAGTAAAAATGGCGTCGGTTTTACAGTGTCAATTCAAGCCCAAGCCCAAATCCTTTTGAAATGCATGACAATTGGATTCACAGCGCTGAAAACAGCGTCTTCTACAACTACAGTGTTTGAGTGTCAAAGTAGACATTTGTATGTAAAAGGAAGTTGCTGACGACTCATTTCAGCAGTTCAGAATCAATTATATTTTTAAGACAATAACTTTATTTGTCGTGCTCTTTGAAATTTAAAGCTTTGCAGACCTAAAACATTCACATAAAGCTATATTACACACTGCATGAAATGTGATATTCAAAAAAGCATAATAGAGGCACTTTAATCAGCACAACTGTTTTCAGCATTGAATGTTTTGTGAGCAGGTAAAAATTTAAAAAAGTTATTTTAAATTGAAATAATATTTCACAATATTAGTTTTACTGTATTTTTGGTCAAACAAACTGTTTTTCAAAAACATATTCCAAAAAATTCTTACCAACCCCCAAAGGTAGTATTGGTATATCTTGAACTGTTAATTATTCTTTCCAAATTGGCGAATGGCTACTTCTTGTTTTCTTGAAT